GAAAGTGCTGACAAATAAAATGTGCCACAATAGAGAAGTCATTTACTTCTCAGTTTTAGTAACCATGGATATCAGTAGGATGTAAATCAAACAAAGAAAGTGGTCCTTGTTGTAGTTGTTGCTGTCATTATTGTTATTTTAAGCCACAGGATGTCCCTCTGACAGAACTGTTTAAATCCTTCTTCTATGAAATTTCACCCTTTGCAGTTGCCACAGATTTGATGCCCTGTTTCTACAAGGATTTACTTTCATGTATCAGTATCCCCTCTGTTTTTACAGGTGGGCAAAAAAAGTACAATTTCTTGACAGGGTTTTTTTGACCTACTACTGTAGGTAAAAACCATCTGATAAAATGAAAGTTGGAAATTGAGCACTTCAAAGTTAATTTAATTTGTAGAAATTTAATTGAGCAACCAAGACAGATTTCTATCTGTTAGGCATTTCCAAGTGAGATTTCAGTAAGAAGGCTTAGGAAGCTTTGTGTTGCTACCAAGAAGGCTGAACTTTTCTCTTTTTGGCACTACTTGAGTAAAGGAAAATGAGTAATTCAAAGTTACTTCCTCTGTGCAAGAATTGCATCCCATTAACTCTCTTATCAGGCTGTTTCATGTGGAATATGAGTTGTGTTTTATGGAGAAGCATTCCTAATTCAAGAGGAGGTCAGACTGTGACTGCAAGTTTATAGAGAGCTTTTCAGTTAAAAACTAATGGTTACTGTATAATCTACTTAAGCACAATCAAGAGCAGCTGGGAGCTGAGTCTTGGGGATGAGCATCTTTCTCTCGGGAATTCTTGTGTGTCATTTCGTGGCCACTCCTCTTGCAGATAATAGACTTTCAGATAATCTGAACAGAATAATGCACCCCGATTTTTCTCTTTGAAAAAAAGTAATTTCTACTTCTTTTATTTGGGAGTATTTCCTGAGGAATGTCTTTTAATAACATAAAACCCAAATTCTCTATGTGATCTGGTTTTGGTGCACTCGGTTTTGGGTTCTTGGCTTCAACGTGATCCAAATTCCAGTTGTATATCTGATTCTCTTTCTGCTTCATTTTCATAATACACCTGGAGTCCGCTGTATTTATTTGAACAGTAAGCCAGTATTCCTCATGCCTAATGAATGCTGGCAGATGGGATATTATTAATTTACTCCATGTTTTTAATCAGAGGATTATGTATTGCAGGTGCTTACCTACTCGACATGAAAGTGTGTACACTGCTGAACAATACTTAACTCTCAGTATAAAGTGATAAGACCAAAGTATCGACAGGCTTATTTGTAACTTTTTTTTTTTTTAATATACATATATATATTACTTTTACTGTGATTATCTTATGCAAACTACTTTTTAATTGACTTTTTTTTTACAGTATCTGTATATATTTTTGAAATGCATGATTCCTACATTTTTACTTGCAGCCTGTTCTTTCAGTTAGTGATACGTAGTTGGAATGCTTTCTAACATGCTTTTCTTTTATAAGCAAAGTCAGCCTGCCAGGACCTGTGCCATTTCAAACCTATGAAGATTTTCAACTATGGTTGGAAGCTTATTTAATATTAGATAATTTAACACTTGCAATTTTATACTGAATGATCTAATATTTTGCAATAAGTCTATGGTTTTGAATACTTTCATGAAAATGAAGTTGGGAATGAGGGATGAAGAAAAGGGTTAAAAATCTTTTCAGATTAATTTTAGTCATGGTTTCGTTTGCATTTGCAGTTTAATAGTGAGCATTGTGACCTTGATGCAGCAATCTTATGCTAAAGAAGTGTGTGGGCTAAATACCTCAGCATATTTTAACTTTTTAATAGTCTTACTTTGGGATAGCTATTAGACAAGTATTTTCCATTTGTAGATGTTTATATGCTTTAGAAAGGGTGTAAATGCCACTGTTCTGTTTCAGAAATGTTGTAGATTGATTTTTATTGGAGATTTCAAGTTAATTTTACCATGGAAGGTTCTTGATACAGTGAAATAATGATAATATGAAAAAACTTTATGCAAGGCTACAGAGGTTACACAACAGCTCATTGGGAAGACTTGGTATAAAATCCATGTTGCCTGACCATTATTTCAGTCTGTTACCATTTAGCTCTACACCTTACTTTCACAATTTTATAGAGACTTCTGCTTAAAAATCAAGTAACAAATATATGATTCAACATTTTAAACCTATTTTTCATGTATCAGATTATGTGTGTGCTTTCTAAGGTCCTTATGAAGGGTCCTTTTTATTTTATTTTATTTTAATTTTGCTTTATTCTTTGCTTTGTTTCATGTCTATTCAGTTTTATTTATTCCATGTTTTCTTTTGTTTTGTTTTTGTTTTTAGTTGTGTCTGGTAAGTTGAAATTTTATTGGCCATCTTCTAGTCATCGTATCACTGTGACGGGAACTTCTCCTCCCCTTCCCATCCATCCCCTTCCATGTCCTTCAATCAGTCAGCTCCCATCTTTTACTTGTTCTTGACAAGACACATCGCACAGAATAAATTCTGCATGAAGTATGGGTAACTTAATGGCAAAGAAAGGTAATGGGTTGCTAACTTTTTGTTTCTACGTGATGTAATAAGTCAAATCCTAATGTCTTCTTTCTTCATTGACTGTATTAGTTGAACTTCGAAAGTCTTCTGTAAATTTAATTCTTTTTGTTAAAGGTCTCAAAGATAGAAGTTCTTCTTTCCTTAAGTGTATTAATATTTCAGCATCTTTTACCGTATATTCATCACATACCACACATTTAGGAGCCAAAGTGTGAAAGCAAATAGAAGTTTAAAAAAAAAAAGATGGTGAAAATGTTTCCAGTACAGTGCACATTGAATGGAATTTGATAACAGAGTTTCACTTTAACCTGGTTTAATTCTTCTGACATTGAAGCTAATAGGATTTTTATCGATTTTTGTCTTAATGGTGATAGATTTAGAATAATCCACGTATGCATAATACACATACATATTTAGATAAATATGCATGCTAAATACATACTTAGAATAATATCTAGAGAAACATATACCTATCTACATTTTATAAATTCTACCATGGTTACCTGGAAGACTAAATTTACCCTCATTTTTTTGGCTTTCAGTAGTCCCTGAATGATCATCTTCAGGTCCTAGAATCACAAGCATTAAGCTATTTCTCCAGTGGGCAGAACCATTTTAATCTTCTTACAACTGTATTCATTCTTAAGTTCAGTGAAATCTGAAGCCTTATACATCCTATGCACTAGCTCAGGATTTAGAAATCCTCAGTTCATTTTAGTGTGTCATTGTGTCACAGACTAGAGCCAACCATGCCCTAAATTTAACTATATGCTAAATTTATTCTTGTCATTAGAATCCAACACATAACAGAGGTGCTTCACCCTCATCTCCATTTTCCCCATCATACCTTACAACCCTGTGGCAAATCCCCAACAGTGTCACCTTCCATTCTAAATTAATCATGCTCTCATGTCAGACTCTTCCCACGTCTTCTCCTGAAGTACTGATTGAATGTTTCAGAGCTAAATGTTTTGAAGTCAGATGATTCCTGTTGGTCAATCTCACCTTCACTTTGCATAGTTTCTTATCTAAGGAAGTTCTAGGAAAGGTAGTATTTGCATCCAAATATGAATAATATGTTGTGCTTTAAAAACTCCTTCCAAAGCAGGATGGTCGTAGGAAGAATATGCGCTGCAATTAACTCAGTAGGGAGCAGGGACACATGGCATGAGGAACAGATAACTGGAAGTGCCCATAGGAGCACTGAAAGCAATTCTTTTTAGGAAGGACTTTGAGTGTTACTTAATTCGTTATAGATTAAGCCACTGTTACCTGATGTTTATAAAACACATTGAGTGATAGCTTTAAATTACATGATTCACACTCTTTTTAAAGGAAAATTTTGTAAATACAGAAATGTCTGAAAGAAGAATAAAATAAAAAACAAGACACTAAAAACATTATTGAAGTCAGATTAAAAATATATCCTTTATTCTCAACCGAAAGAAGAGAGAGAGCATAATTAGTTTTGGACAGATGATCAGACAGCATCGTAAATGAACAAATAAATGGAATTTCATTTAATTCAGTTTTACAGAAGTGAGAGCTAACACCCTATAAAACAAGCTAGGCTTTTCTACGCTAGCCCCATCAAGAGATCTAATGCTGTCATCTATGATGGGTTTTTTTTAATGTGACTGACATGATTTTTTGACATTCCATTTACTACTGGCTGAAGGGGTTGTTGAAGCCTCTATAAATCAAAGTTTGGACAAAGCTGGAAGTATTTATAATGTTAGGCTGAGCAGATGTTTCAAATTTGCCTTCATTTGCATATATATTTTGTTTGAACATGCCCTTGCCTATGTAAATGATGGAGACATTTAGCTCTGCTGTTCCTTTAAAATCATTCCTCTTAAGTAGCTGGACTGAACAGTTTAAATGGTTAAAAATTATTCAATAGTTTTTCTAGGGCTTTTGACTTTAAATTTTTTGAGACCCCAAGAACATCAAAAGCCTCTTATATGAGCACTTAAGGGGTTTTTCTCTCCTCGGCTTTCCTAAATCATAGATGATGACACTTGTGCGTGTAAGCCTGAATTCATAGTTACTCAACAGTGTTTATTACAGCTCTTGACAAAGTATGGCCTGGGGGCCAGTTGTCCCTCAAAGATTTCCCCATTCTGACTGTATTCCTGCTTTAAAAGCCAAAATGTAACAAATTTGTTTGTATCAGTGACTGTTGCTTTGCGAGTTGTCTCAATAAGTCAGTGGGGCTTACTTCCTTGTGTAAGTGGTCAGTAATAAAAGTGTATGATGCACAGTTTTAACTGGGAGGTCCAGCAACAGAAAAGACAATCTGCGTGATGCTGTGGCTGTTAGAGAATGATGTGTCTCCTTATTAATTTATCTGTTTTACATGATTTAAGATCAGTAGGCAAAATGTGCTTTCAAATAGCCTGATAGTACTGTGATTGATTGATTGATTGATTGATTCGGCGTTTTCCTTTCAGAGCCTCCACAGTTTGTTGTAAAGCCTCGAGATCAGGTAGCTGCACTGGGGAGAACAGTGACTTTCCAGTGTGAAGCAACTGGAAACCCTCAGCCAGCCATCTTTTGGCGGAGAGAGGGAAGTCAGGTAAAACAGTCTTTCTGTGTCCCTTCTTCCTAACAGTTTCTTAAAGAGATGATACCATGTGAGAGACAAATATTGTAATTGTTGATTTAAAGATGTGGAAAATAGGTCTAGAGCTTGGAGATGCTGAATGTTGCTTCTCTTCTAAGTCACATGCATGCTAGGTGATGAAACAGCTAGAAACATTCCATGTTTCACTACTATGACAATCTTTTTCACCTACCAGGGACAACTTCTGAGAGACGAGGAAATGACTAATGCTAAAGTTTGTTTGAACTCCCAAACACTCCCAAATGTCTAGAAAGTTTGGCTCTGGGTTCATGGTATGGTTGTTGGTTTGCCATGTGTTTGCATTTGTCTGGCAAACTGAACTGTTTGTTGTATTGATCTGCATCACTGCAGGACTCTCATTTGGGGCTAAGGAGATCTGTTGTCCCATTCAGTTGGCTGACAGGTTGTCCTGGGTTCAGACCTGAATAGGTCACTTTTTCTCCCAGTTTTGTTATTTGAATGGGAGGGAAAATTATTTTCAGCTTCTTTGTAAAGTATCTTGAAAGCCAGTGGGTGAAACACAATATAGCACAGCAAGGGAATCGCAGTTTTCTTACAGAGTCATCTTTTGAAGGAGGGATGTGGCACAAAGTGTTCTTTATTGGAAGGAAAGAAGGAATATGGAATTCTGGTTTTCCTGTGAATGAAAGAATGAATAGTGTGATAGCATATGACAGGGTGCTTTGTGTTCCAAAACAATAGGCCAGAGAAACTGAGAACACTTAAAGATTGGCTTCTTTACTCCATTGCATCATTTCTGTCTAAATACGTAAATAGAACTGGATTAATTAGAGGATAATCTTAAGTGGTGTAAGTATGCCAGCGTAGGATGTTTGTATTTTTGAGTGACCTGGATTTTATTTATTTTTCCCCAAAGTGTGGTCTAGTTCATATTTTTTCTGGCATATTTTTGACTGCTGAGTAGTGACCACTTGTGATGATTGCAGGAACTGGAGGAGGAGGAGGTGAATGAATACAGTTTGCTAATACTGAAGTAGAGGATGTTGTGTCCCATTCCCTTGAGTGATTTTTGGAAATGAAAATGTAGTTAGGCAAGAAGGAGAGAGGAAAAAAATAGCCTCTGTGACCTTGAAGTATTCCTGTTCATAAACTGTTCAGTCATAGGTAGAAATTTTTGAGCAGTGTTTAATGTAAAGGACTTGTGTTATTTTGATTGCAATTCTTATTTTTTACCACTATTGGTTAAATACTAGGCACTTCATACCAAAACTGCCTAAGTAGAAACCGGCATAGGATGTAATTCTGTATTATAAGACTAATAATACACCACAAACACTGATTAAAGATACCTGAACAGCATCTCTAGTTATAAAACTGCTTCTTAGGAAGGTAAAAGTTAAAATACAAGTAAGTAAATCAGCATCTGCATTTAAGTGGAACAAATAGAATGACATGGAATAAGATCTAAAGGATGTTAAAGTAAATTACTTGGGTTCATCACAGCTGCTTGCACCATTATGGTATATGTACATAATAGATCTTTGCTACTGCCTGGTGAACTTTATGTAAAGCCATAGAGGCTTTACACAAATAGACGCTCTATTGAACGTAGAGGTGTTAGAGGAATCCTGAAAGACTTACAAAATCATATGTGCGTATCTGCACCCATTTTATCACAAACAATTCTATTACAGCTATTTACATTGTGGCATAGACATGTTTAAGATAGGAAGAGCAGAATGTTTTAAGTGTAACATGAAAAAATGAATTTGTTTAGACGTGTTAAAGTTAAGATTATTGATGTTTGAATTTAATTAACCCATTTTCCCCCGCTTTTTTTCCCATACATCTTGTAGAATCTGCTTTTCTCATACCAACCCCCTCAGTCATCCAGCCGATTCTCAGTTTCCCAGACAGGAGACCTCACTATCACCAATGTCCAGAGATCTGATGTTGGGTACTACATCTGCCAGACTTTAAATGTTGCAGGAAGTATCATAACAAAAGCCTACTTGGAAGTTACTGATGGTAATTATACCTTTATTTTATCATCTGTTATATCCCACAGCAGTGGGATGACACGACACTACTTTGAAATCTGCTTTGCATAAATGTGGATAGCATGTGTCTTTAAACATTAAAGTCCTGGTTTGGCTAGCTCTGACACGGGTTTAACATGTTGGATATTGTGTAACACTATATTTCCATTTTACATTTAGTAAGTATGTTCAGTTTATTTTTGTCAGATCTATTAATTTATCTGGCTTTTTTTTTTTTAGCTTCTCCCACTAGATTTAATCTACTTTCAAATTGCTATGGCCTAGATCTTTGTCCTTAGCATTGTGTGTCCATTTCCCTAGCATCTCCATTTACCATTTTTTTTCCCCTATTTTTTAATATTGCAGTATACCAAGGAAAAAACCTCAACCAGTGTGGAAGTCAGTAGAATAACATACAAATGAATATTATTGTACATTCCTTTTGAGAGCCAGTTGGGGAAGAAAAAAATAACATGAAAAGCTACAGGGAGCATGACTGCAAGCAGTAATATATGCTGACGTGAGGCCAATTTGCCAGTTATCAGAAATAATCATATCTTTAATGGCAACCATACACAAGAAAAATACTAATCTTAGCACTTAGAATAAGTGCAGTTTGTGGAGAGACTTATGAAGGGAGAAAAGTGCCTCTAAGCTATGCCTTTATCCTATATAAAATAATAGAAATAATGCAGTACTTGAAACACACAGTGAACCTGGAGAATAAATATATTTACACCCACTGGATTGAGATTGTTTAGAGGAGTAGGACTGCATGCTCTCTGGTTTCTCACAAGTCATAAGCCACATTTCTTAATCCACTTTTATCCATTTTTCACTGGGGAGGAGGCCATGGCAAGGTGAGAAGTAAATTTAAAATAGGAAATAAGCAAATTAAGAGAATTTTTGTTAATGTCCTATGCTGTCTGAACTCAGAAAAAGCAAATTAGTGTGAATATATTTCTTTTACTGTGACTGTATGCTCTGGTTTGATCTGATGGGTAGTTGCTTTGTATAATGTCCTGGGGAAATACTTTTATTTTTTATACCTCTATAGAAGTGAAGGCAGGATATGCAGAATGATACCCTGGTATTTCTAAAAGTAGTAGAAGTTGCCATCAATTTTAGTGACACTTATGTTAGCCAAGGATTTCAGTGGCATTAAATTTCTCTTGTAAAGCACATATTGGTCAGCCTCTTCCCACTGGCAACTGCAGAACTCTTCATAAACTTTTCAAATACAAACTGTAAGTGAGCTTGTTTTGACTGTCTCTTCAGAGAAAGATGCTACAGGCCTTACAGTATATTGCAATGCACTGCAACAGGTTGGGACAAGAAGTAAAGGATGAATTATGCATTTGGAAACAGAGTGTCATTTGAACATGCAAATGAAATTAAGGGGGTGGGAGTTCAGCCAAGAAAAGCAGTACTAACACCCTGTCTGTTGTTACGAAAAGTAATTTAGAAATATATGGTGTTCATGAACTTCAGATTTATATTTCAGCTACCAAACCAGTTTTTAATTTGCATGGCTATTTTCAGATCATCAGTCCATGTCATGTTGGACAGTATAGGTAGAAGAGGTCACTGAAACACAATAGGATAGCCTTTTCTTCTTTTTTTTATTATCTTTTTTTCCTCTTCTTTTTTTTTTATTATCCGTTGGATAATGGAGAAAGAAGCCTTCTTTTATCTGTGAATGCTGAGACTGCTTCATACCTTTCTATTAAATAATCCATCACTAGCATTTAATTTTTATTGTGTGAAAGATGCATTAAAATTGATGCCAACACACTGTGGGATTCTCTTTGTGGCTTTGAAGTCATGTTAACAGATTTAGTCATCAAGACACTAAAAGTCAGAAACTACCGGAAAGTATTTCTTAGTTGAACATTTTTAATATGGTCCTTTTCATTAGTTTTGTGTTTGCACTACTGCCGAGCATCTCCCCATTGGGAAACACCACAAAAATGAGTTGATACTACACAATAAATCTTTTTAGGAAGTGTGTATTCATCACATTATTCCCTTCGTACCTACCTCCTTTTTCTGTCTTTGAATGCTGAAAGTATAAATTCCGTTATATAGAGACCTGCTACAATGGTAGAAGATGAACAAGGTGTAATCTGTGCCTTGAAAAAGAAATTGGGAAGTCCTTTCTCATTCCATCATCACTTTTATAAAGACACTGGAATATGTAATACTTCTTTACTTTTTTGAAAATGGTGCTGTATATCATTTTAAAATGCTGTTGTTGTGCATCACTTTAATGTACCCTGGCCTGAATAACGCATGTCTCAAACTTTAATTACTTGTTTAATTATCTTCGGTTTGTTTCAAAGCCTCAAGCAACTGCAGTTGCTTAGATGATTAGGAAATTGCTTCCAGTTGCAGAAATCTATTTCCTGTTGTTTCTTCTGGCAGTGATTGCAGACCGGCCTCCCCCTGTCATTCGACAGGGTCCTGTGAATCAGACTGTAGCTGTAGATGGTACTTTAGTACTGAGCTGCATGGCCACAGGCACTTTAATGCCCACTATCCTCTGGAAAAAGGATGGGATCCTCATTTCTACCCAGGATTCTCGCATCAAGCAATTGGAGACAGGAGCGTTACAGATCCGATATGCCAAGGTAGCTTGAACTGGCAAACAGGTTTTCTCCTTATTAGTTTCACTTTGTTTTTTCACCTCCAGGCACTTTTGATGTAGTAAATCCTACAGTTAGAATTAATGAAATGTTAAATAAATGTATTAAAACATTTGATACTTAAATGCTTTCAAATATTTCATACTTCACACCTTGGCGTATTCTGCCTAGGGCACATTATTGCAGATTGCATAAGGAAGAATGCTTTTAAGAGTCATTAATTAAGGGAATTATTTCATACTTAAAACATGAAGGGAAAAGTAAGGCTTATATTTCAGTAAGAGGAATTCATAAATTATTTGGGCTTTAGTACTAATAGATGAAATGATCTATTATTTCAAAAGCTTATATATATATATGTATATAAAACTTTTGTTCATCATATTGCAGGAATAGAGCCATGTACACAGCTTTCTTAAAACTATTTCTAAAGTTTAAACATACTCACTTGACAACGTAAACATAGGTCAGAATAGTTAACCACCTGTCCAATATCTAGCTTCCTTAGGGAATTACAGCAGGTACCTGGTCAGTATTGCTGGTTATGCCTCGCATGCTGTAAAATGTCTGATAGTGTTGTTTTAGCATACTGGCTATTCACTATCTTTTCTGTGGTTTGAAGTATAGTGACTTTTAAAAATTAGGATGGATATATCACTATACTCTGTTCCCCAGAGTTGCACTGTTACCAATTACAAGTTACACTGGCTTAGAGTTTGAGACTCTGGTTATTGAGTGTTTCCGTTCAGCTCATCTGCTGAGGCTGGGACCTGAGGAGGATAGCATTTCTTTTGAGGGAAAGGGAAAGAAACTCCTTCAAAATGTGATTAAGTCACATATGGACAAATAATCCAACATTCAGAACTCAATGAGAATAGCATACGGAGGTTCCTTTTTGGGGTTGCTGTAGAGCGTAATTTATGCTAACACAGGGAACCCCATATGTACAAATATTTAAATAATATTTACAAATATATGTGCAATATTTAAGCTTTGTTTTAAGGATAACATGCTCTCCGGTGCTGCAGTCCAGACAAACCCCTGGGCATTACTTAGGCATAAGGCTGACAGTTGCATGAGGTCTTGTCATCTGAGTTCCGTCTCAATTTATTTGTTAGGACCTCTGCAGGGTAAGGAATAAATGCGACAAGAATTGGCCTTCCATTTGTTCAATACAGAATAGTTCATGTTAAATTAGAATCTGCACTTTTACCAGTTCTTTAAGGGATGCTCCAAAATGAGTATCCATTTTCATTTTGCAGCGCATGAATTCATAACTTGTAACGGAATAAATTTCTGGTTTTAATTTTTTGCAGCCTAATACGTTTACCCACATTCGGGGGGGGGGGGGGGAACATGGACAGCTGTAATTACTTTTCTAGCCCACTGAGTGCCTGATTGTTTCAAATATTTATTCTTCTCTTTTCCCACTCAGCTGGGTGACACTGGTCGGTACACCTGCATTGCTTCAACCCCAAGTGGCGAAGCTACATGGAGCGCATACATAGAGGTCCAAGGTAAATCAATTAGGGTTTCCTCTGCATGGAGAAAATACATAAAGGCAAATCATAAATTGAAATGCGGAAGTTACCTGACTCGTGTCATAAATTGCCTGTGCAGATGTGAACAGCAGTTAGCTTAGCAGCTGCTTCCTGCCTACACTCGGTGTTTCTCTCTCCTTTGTTAGAGTTTGGAGTCCCAGTGCAGCCACCGAGACCCACTGACCCAAACTTGATTCCTAGCGCTCCATCAAAACCCGAGGTTACAGATGTCAGCAGGAATACAGTAACATTGTCATGGCAACCCAATTTGAATTCAGGTGCAACACCAACCTCTTACATAATTGAGGCCTTCAGGTACATAAGTCTCATGTGATCTCGCTGTGCTTAAACTCATATATAAGATATAAAAAAGCATGTGCTAACCTGCTGTTGTGTGTGTTTTATCCTTAGCCATGCATCTGGTAGCAGCTGGCAAACTGTAGCTGAAAATGTGAAAACAGAGAGTTTTGCAGTTAAAGGGCTAAAACCTAATGCAATTTATCTATTCCTTGTGAGGGCAGCTAATGCATATGGACTAAGTGACCCAAGCCAAATATCTGATCCAGTGAAAACTCAAGGTAAGCTTTTGATGCTGAACATTTTAGGTGTCCACAGTGACTGTCACAAGGTGATCAAGAAATACCAGATGCAGGGATTCTGGTAGCTTTCAATTGTCTGGCTATAATATATGCTAGATGCTAAAATACAGTGTTTAAACTTGGTTTTCTCTATAACATAGACTCAGAGTTGCTTAGACAGCATGCTTGCATTGCCTAAGGGAACCCTAGTATCTCTTAGAAAGATAGTTACAATCTTGTTGAATAGCTCTTGTTAGCAGCAAAAATAATCTCTGACTTTTTAAGTTATCACACAATTCATCAAATTCTGTGGAAAAATAATTACGTCCAGTGAAACAGGCTTAAGACTGACAGAAAAACACCATTAAATCTGAGTTGATTTTTGCTGCATTAGGAAAGAGAGAAGTTTAAAATTGGAAGGAGTTGTGCATTGTAAGCCAGTAAAGAAGAGGTTTTGGCAATGTATTAAAAGTATTTCAGTAGTACAACTGTTGAAAATAAAACAGTGTAAAGAGAGAGAGTGCTTACAGATAGCCAAGTGGAAGACAAAGGCTGGGTAGGAATGGATGAAGTAGTCATCCACTGACTCCATCTATGACTGAAGTCCAGCCATGGACTGAATCCAGCTGTGTAAAATGTAAAATAACTTTGTGTTCACTGTAGCAAATAAATGACGCTTATGATGGTGTATGGCGAATCGTGCATTGCAACTTCACAGCCTGTGTTTTTCCAGGAGAAATACTTAGATTCTTAAGAAGGAAATAACTGGGCATACTTCTTCAAACCGAAAGTGCTATAGATCTTTCTTTTTTTTTTCTGCTTTTTTGTACTTACTGCAGAAATTGACCCATTGGCCTATTAAGAGTGCCTGTGTTGTATGTTTGTTTCTTTGTTTGCATAAGTAAGTACGTGTTTGTTTTTGAAAGGAAGTTCCTTAAAGGAAACAAGGCATTTTCCTTTGGTGACTTTCATTTTTCCTGAAGTTGGTCTGAAAACAAGTCTTTCTCATCTCCCCTGGGGAGTGAACAGTTTCACACTGCTGTCCTTCAGTATACATTTCTCCTGTTGGGTGACAATTTCAGTGGATATATAAAGATAGCAGAGTCATGAAGGAAGAAGTTCTTTACTGTGAGGGTGGTGAGGCACTGGCACGGGTTGCCCGAAGAAGTGGTAAATGCTCCATCCCTGGCAGTGTTCAAGACCAGGTTGGACAGAGCCTTGGGCAGCATGGTCTAGTGGTAGGCATTGCACGGGTCCTGTTATCAAGAAGTGATATAGTAGCCCCTTAAGGGTTTGTAGTGACAAGACAAAGAGGGAATGACTAAGCTGATAGAGGGGAGATTCAGATTAGATATTATGAAGAAATTCTTCCCTGTGAGGGTGCTGAGGTGCTGGCAGAGGTTGTCCAGGGAAGCTGTGGCTGCCCCATCCCTGGCAGTGTTCAAGGCCAGGTTGGACAGGGCTTGGAGCAACCTGCTCTAGTGGAAAGTGTCTCTGCCCATGGCAGGGGTGTGGAACTGGATGAGCTTTTAAGGTCCCTTCCAACCTGAACCATTCTGTGATTCTATGATTCCATGATTTCTGTATTCCTGGGAATAGGGCAACACATGCTATTACGTGGGCAGGCTGCAGTGTTCTGCACAAGTCCATTTTTCATGCAGTGTAGTTTCATTCCTGGATATTAGATGGAGTATTAGGTCTGAATGTCCCTGATGAACTGATCACTGACCGGACTGAGGAACAGTGAATGAGGAATGAGGCAACATTCTGTTCACTCAGCAAAACTGAATGGTTTATAATAGCATGGAAAAGCTTCGCTGTCCTCTGGGCATCTAGTACTGCTGAAGACATGAGGACCACACAAAGCCTGAGTGAAAATAACAACCAATAGATAAAATTTTCATCAAGTAAGAAATAGAATCAAGTGTCAAGTTCTTTAGAGTGTCAGTTCCACTCCTCTTCCAATACCATTTCAGTTTTGTGTAAGTTGTAGTCTAGCTAAATTCAGAACTTTACCAGTTTATTTCTGTCTAGGAGGCGGTATAGTCTTTTCCTAAATACATGTCCAGACCAGGAACCTAACCTGCCTTCATCTTTACACTTTACATATTAGTAACATTAAAACCAACATGCTTAGCTATTCTGACAGTCACTGTCTTGGAAGCCTGACTCCAAAACAAGAAAGCACACGTATTGCTGTATAGCACAGATGTGCAAATGGCTGAGCCTATTAATAGTTTGATTCATATTGTTGGTGACTCATCTTTTATGACTAGCAAAGACAGAACTAATTATTCCACTGACTTTCCTGTTACATTCTAATCAGGGTGATATTTATGCAACTCTCCAAACAGAAGCTTGTGTTTTTCATGCTTTCAAACTTTGAAGGGGGGGAATTACTCTGATAAATGGATTGTTTGGCAGAACTTACTACATGTGGATACAGCAGTGAAGAGTGCTCTGGTTTTGTGACTTTGTTGTCAACGTTCTTTGCTAAGAGTCCAGGTTTGTCACCCACTGACTGCATGCTAACCTCAGTTTCCTTCTTTAACTTTTAAGAATCCCATCTTCTTGTAAATATGTTCAGGAAACTGTGTGATAGAAGTTCAAAGTGACATAGGCTTTTTATTCCCAAATGGGAACTGTATTTCTTGAAAAAAACCCCATGTATTCATGCCTTGTCCTAATGCCTCTTAGCATTGGTTTTATTGTTATTTAGAGAAGACTGGTAGCTGATGAACTGAGAATGTGACCACTTGGCAAAAAGCAACAGCTTTGCAATTCTTGTACTTGCATTAAATAAGTGTCTTCTATATCAGCATCAACTGCCCTATCCACATCTCAGCTTTCAAGACAGTCTACACACCTACAGTAGTTGTAGTTAGCTGCACATAAATATATGTACAATTCTGTGTACTCTCTGTTTGGCACTTCTTGTAAGCGGACAGACATGGAAATTTCCAAGGTCTATAGGAAGGAAAGAGAAGGGAAAAGGAAACGGGAAGAGAAAAGGAAAAAGGAAAGAGGAAAGGGAAAGAAAGAAAAAAGGAAAGGAAATTAAAAAGGAAGACATCACTATAAGTGCTTTTCATGGGTTTCTAAGGCTGTGATCATTTTTGTCAGTATGGTATTTGTTTAAAAAATATCAGAGAGAGATATTAAATCAATACAGAAACCATGTTACTGTGCTGTCCATAGTACATGTATATTTTAGACAACCTGTTACTGGTTGCCTGTAAATTTTATACATGTCTAACAGTCATTCCATTTCAGCTAAGTATATTTTTTCAAGGGCTCTGCATGCAGAAAATATGTTTCCATTGTATCATTGTGTATTTTGAGGGGAATTTGTCCCTTCGTGCATATGAACAATTCTTTTAGCTATAAGATAGACCAAATGTCAGAAGAGCCAGACAGCACTGAGCTGTGCTCTGCCTGCTGTTTAAAGAAGACACTTGCCGTCAGAGAAGCTGCATCCACATGACTCATTTGTCTTTTCTTCAGTTTTTACATTATTTTGTTATTACGAGCATTAAGTTTCCCCATGAAGCTATCTGAAAATACAGCTTCTGCTTTTGCCATTCTTTATAGTTTTCCAGGTCTCTTGGAATCTGCAGTGGTTTTTCTCCTCCCAACAGGAAAGAACGAAGAAATGCTGCTGCAGTTACTTACCAAAGACAACCTCAAGTGTGGTTTTTCCTCCTGTTTCTCTCTGTTGAAGACAGTGCTACTACCTAAACATTGGTCATGTGCTCAGGAAAATACTCCATGTAGTGTTTTCTTACATAGTTGGGAAGTACTTAGGGTAATCTTTGTTGGTGGTATCACATACTTTATGATACATTTGTTTGTATTTACATATGCTTCTTTTAACAATCATATATACTTGTGGAAATGGAATCTTAAATCATTACAGATGTTCCACCAACAAGTCAAGGTGTGGATCACAAGCAGGTCCAGAGAGAACTAGGTGATGTGGTACTACATCTGCACAACCCTACTATCCTTTCTTCATCCTCAATTGAAGTTCATTGGACGGTAAGTATAAATCTGTATCATGGAGGTGGTCATATATACACTGCTGAATCTACTGTTTGACTGCAGTGGAACCACACTTTAAGAAGCTGTGTAGTTTGTATGCTTGCAAATGAAGTGTTTTTCTCTGGAATGAGTGCCGCTTGGGCTTTGCTTTCCTACTTTACTAAATGTTGCTCCATTTTCACCATTTCCTGTCTCCATAGAGAGTGCTGTTTACAATATGGTGAGAGTTTCAGAGTTGTCCTCTGGAAGCTAAAGGACTGATCAAAGCCTTCAAAGTCATATAATTTGAAGCTTTTGCACTGCTTTCAGTGGGAAATGTATCACTCCCCTAATGAGATAGCATGGGCATTTCCACTTCTGTCAGTCACCAGTGGAGAAAAATACTGCATTATTCTCTTTGAAAGTCTTATCTTCATCCTACATCCGTACTGAGAAGCACTCCCAAACCCATATAGCCTCATCTTAACCTGTCCTTTCCCACAGTGCTGTAAGTACATACAGTGCAGAGAGAAGAGACAAAAAGGTCAGATGGTTTTCAGATGCTCTGTTGACATTGCTTTGGTGGGAGGAAGCGGGAGGTTGGCCACGTGGATGATACAGCAGAGGAAATGAGGGAATAAGGAAACCATCCTGTAGGAGTCCAGGAGTAAGGGGAATGGGAACATACATGAAAAAGATGCAAAGTAGGCTTACAAGCTAAGGCCTCAGGAAGGAAAGGATTAGAAATGGCTTACTGATGGAGACATTTGGTCATCAAGAGGTATAAATTAAGAGTCAGAACAACATGGGGAAACTGCAAGTACCAAGCAATGAGATCAGAAAATGTGATTCAAAGAAGAGCGGTTTTGAAATAGGATGCAGAATGAAGAAGTGTGGAATAATTATACCAGGTGTGGAAATAAATCCAAAGGGAGTGATCTGTGAGGCCTTTTTAGGATTTCCATCTGAACGTGTCAGTACATTGGCAGAAACAGTTGAGGAGATCACAGGGTGTAGCCCCTGCTATGCCATGGCAGAACATTTTAAACAGGAGCAAAAGGCACTTCGACTTTGTAGAAGAGCCCTACCCCTGCAGAGTCCTGGGTCATGACCAGGGCTCCTGGGTGCTTCAAAAGTGCAGCTAATGTGTGCTGTGTTGCATAGCAATTACACTGTCACCTGCATCATCGCCACCTGCAGCAGGCAATCTCCTGGTTTAACTAATTCTGTTAAAACATCTTTAAGGTGCCTAGTGCAATTTCATTTGACCTTTCCTTACAGAACAACCTTTTCCAGACAGGCAGTTTTTGTCAGTCTCTTGGGTGGCCTGTGGCTTCTCTGCAATTTCGAAAATAAGCATTACCTCAGTTTCAGCTAACACACTCATTCTTTATGTGATTATTAAAAATGAAACGTTGCTTTTTTGGAGCAAAAGTGCAAGCAAGCAAACAGTTTTATTGTGCCATTATATGAGATTTTTGAAAATAGGGAAAATCTGATCCACTCTTAAAGATTCTGTTGTTATTACTGGACTTTCTTATTAATCAGACACTGAAAATGGTAGTTAAAAGATAGTGAATGCTCCACGAGAATTCACTTCTGTTAAGATAGCTTTCTCTTTCAGGTATAGCCAAACAGTGAGTCCCACCCTTGTTTACATTAAGATATCTTTCTCCAGACATGATGTAAAATTCCCTTGGTCTGTGCAGCACTCAGGACCACTGAGTATCATTTTGATCTGCTTTCCAAGTCTCATCTGTGTTGCCATGCTGAGTTTTATGAGCCTCTTCAGAGCCCTCTCAAAACAGCCCATTCCCTCCAGCAGAGGAGCGTCCTGCCGAGCGGGTGGACACAAGGGAAGTGCTTGGACGAATCAGCCCTCTGAAAGAGCCCAGCCTAATCACAGCAATGGAGATAGTGCCAGCTGGCTGCCCTTTCAGTTTGCTTTCTCCAGAAGGAAGTGGGCAGGAAGCAGTGCTCATTGCATGGATTCTGTGAGGCTTCCACACCTCCGGAGAGTTGGCAGGCTCTCCCTTTGATCTCTATATTCAATACCCTGAGTCGTGGAGCTGTAGATCCCCTGCTCTCGCCCTCCCACCTACCTCCATGTGCCCCTGCCCTGCTGGGCAGATCTGGGTGGGCAGAAACCTGGCCTGCGCTGAGCTCCATCACGCCATGCATGCAAAGGCTGTTCATTTCACAGAGCTGGGGCATATTATACAACTCCATTATCCCCCTTTAATGCCTTCATAAATCCACAGGAACCAGTGCAGTTCTACCAGCATCAAACAGATTAATGCACTTGTGAATCAGGCCTGTAATTTGCTGTAATGCAAGGAGCCTTTATCCGCTTTGACAGTGTTGTTTACTTCAAATAAAAAGCATAGTCCAAGGGCTGTGCATAGTGTCACAGACATCATTCTGGTTCAGTTTTGTTAAAGTTTATGTTGTGTGTTCTACTGTCTCACCAGGTGGACCAGCAATCCCAGTATATCCAAGGCTATAAAATTCTGTACCGGCCTACATCAGCATCCTATGGAGAGTCGGAGTGGTTAATCTTTGAAGTGAAGACTCCGACCAAAAACAGCGTTATCATTCCCGAGCTGAAGAAAGGTGTAAACTACGAAATCAAGGCCCGCCCTTTTTTTAATGAGTTTCAGGGAGCAGATAGCGAAGTGAAATTTGCAAAGACCCTGGAAGAAGGCAAGTGGGAGCCAGACTGTCTTCATCTTTCCTTTTTGAAGTAGTAGTCTGGCTTGCTTCCCTCTGATACGTTCGTTGTTTGATTTTGTTTGAAGTGCATGCTGTTTGAGAACAGCAATCTGTGGCAGAGGAGGCTGTGTCGGACTGATCATTATGTGAATTGTTTGGTGACACAGAAGTAAATATTCAGAACCAGGCACAAGAGACAGAGAGAGGGATGTGCAAAAATCCTCTCCAGCACACAATGGGAAATGTGCTTTTTATCTTCGCTGCAGTGTGCACTCCTCCCTGCTGAGTTCATGGTCTGGGCACAAGTGACTTCTGTCAGATTCAAGCACTTGCTAATCACTAACTTGAGTAGATAGCAGACACCACAGAAATCATCAAAGCACTGTAGCTGAGGGAATGGAAACCACGTTTTAGAAGGCTTTTATATCTGGATCAATCAGTAAAACAAAATGAAAAGATGAATGAGGGCAACATATAGAGTGGACTGAATTATGTATTTCCATCTCATATGTGTACTAAAAAGAGAAGGTTCATGCAGCTCTTCATTTTGTTGTTGCTTAGGCATAATGAGTATGCAAGATGGCCAGTGCCTCTTGGTATGTGCAGTCTTTCCCCTGCACTCTTCCCTCCCCAGTATAAATGCCATGTACCTCTGTTTTATTGCTGCAGGTGGTTCAAGAGGTGTGCTTAACTGCATTCATAGAATCATAGAATAGTTAGGGTTGGAAAGGACCTTAAGATCATCAAGTTCCAACCCCCCTGCCATGGGCAGGGACACCTCGCTCTAAACCATATCACCCAAGGCCTTGTGCAACCTGGCCTTGAACACTGCCAGGGATGGGGCATTCACAACCTCCTTGGGCAACCTATTCCAGTGCCTCACCACCCTAACAGGAAAGAATTTCCTCCTTATATCCAATCTAAACTTTCCCTGTTTAAGTTTTAACCTGTTACCCCTTGTCCTATTACTACAGTCCCTAATGAAGAGTCCATCCCCAGCATCCCTATAGGCCCCCTTCAGATACTGGAAGGCTGCTATGAGGTCTCCACGCAGCCTTCTCTTCTCCAGGCTGAACAGTCCCAACTTTCTCAGCCTATCATCCTAAGCATCAGCAAAGTGTCCACATTTTAAATGACTATTTAAAATTCAAAACATGAATTATTATTATAGATGTGTTAACACATTCCATACTGATTTTAATGAGTTTTGTATTATCCACACAATAGAGGAACTGAGAGCTATCATTCTATTTGGATCAATTTATAGAGTTTAGTTTTTAAAACTATTGATACTTGGTTAGATGATTTGAGACCAGTGAGGAATTCAGTGATTGGGACTGCAACATCTAGGTAATGGGTACCTGAGTTTAGAGAGTCTGGTTGGTGAGCGTGACTTATCCTGTCCTGTACAGCAAGACTGCAGCAGGACTCAGGAGCCTGGTAGCAGTTTCACATTGCTTTCCTTCTGTGTCATTTTGTCTTGTGAGCAGTGGGCAGCAACTGCCCTCAGTGAGGGGGTTAGAGCATAAAAGAATGCATTTATGTAGCCCAGAAACCATCTTCCTGTTACAAAAACCCACTTGTGCATGTAATGAACTTACCTTCACTCCTTCTTTCCAAACAAACAGCTCCTAGCGCTCCACCTCAGAGTGTTTCAGTAACTAAGAACGATGGGAATGGGACAGCAATTGTGGTCACCTGGCAGCCACCCCCAGAGGACAACCAGAACGGGATGGTTCAAGAATATAAGGTACTGCTGGCATGCCTTGAGCTCCTGCCATGGGGGCTATTGGCCAGGTAGTGACAGGTTGGTTTGTTCGTGGATGCTTGGCTCCATCTACTGGTTAGTCAAAGCAAATGAGAGAGAAAATTGTTTGACTCAAACTTCATATTTAGTAATTCTGACTGATAGAAAGTAATTAAAACAGCGTCCATAAATCAAAGCAAAGGGTTCAACCCTCTTAATTAAAACAACTGCCTTCTTGCCTTCATTATAACTTGAGAAATCCACACACAAGTAGAGAGGGAACCGTACATGTTTGAGAACCGTTTTGTGACCCAAAGACATTGGACGAAGTAGTAAATATAAACAGGTTTAATGAGTTGAAAAGCTCAGGGATAATAATTAACAGTGTTAAGATCTGAGTTAAATTATGTGTAACTGGGTAGTTAAATGGAAAACTTTCAAGTAAAGAATGTGCTTGTGTAATAATGCATTTAGTGTATAGAAATTTTTTCTCTTGTTTCACACAAACACAGTTCTCATTATGTTATTTAATTTTTAACAAATTTTAAGTACATTATAAATTCTTATATTTGATGTTGTTTAGTATGATACACTGTACTTATTTTCAGTTCAAATTGTTTTGCAAGAATTTGCATAGCAAAGTAAATAAGGATAATTTTTTCTAAGCAAGCTACAGACGTTTTAGGTGTCTGTGTGTGGAAATCGAATAAGCTTTATAGCTATGGGGAGGTTTCAGTCTCCTGCAAATGTGCGTTACTGAGAAAACCTTTCAAATGAGAATGTCTTGGCTGTTTTTCAGGTCAAGACACTGGGCTATAGGCATATACTCCCAGCCATCAAAACTCATTCTGCTTCTCATTCTGGTTGGTTTTCTTTTTCCTCAGTAGAAATGGGAAAGGGAAGAGACCACTAAGCTTCATGGTCAATTTAGAAGAATAAAATGCCTTTCAAAACCTGTCAACTGGTAAAAAAAAAATCAGTTTATGGCTTAGTTTCAGATATATAATGTAGTTGGAAAAAAAAAATACTTGCGAAGTTATTTTGTCTAAAGGCAGACCTTGAGCTGAAAAGATGGAATTATTTCCATCAAGAAACTGCATCAGAGGAATGTTAAGGTTGTAAGGACAAAACAATAAAAGTCAGGAATTTCATGTGGATATAATACCTAACATACCTCATAGCATTCAGAGGCAATAGGCTATCAGGTATTAGGAGCAAGTGTCTTATAGTGCTAATGTAGCAGTAGATGGCACACTGGCACATTTCACATCCACATTTATTGTGTAAATGCCATTATTTTCCTTTGTGCTTTTCACCATGGATAGAAAACAGGCACATTGAATATGCATGTAGTTGCTATTTAAGTTGCTATCTGAAATTAATATTTTTGTCTAAAAACTAAATAAATACAGAACCAGTGATTTAAGATCAAAAATAATAACAAGGTAATCCAAATAGAAGTCTTGTAAAACCTTCTCTTTTTTTCTTCCTCTTTGTTTTTCGATCTGCTATGTTTTCTCCCAAGAAAAAGAGGTACATATGTGTGGGGAATTCTTTGTTTTCTCAACAGCTCAAATATAAGCCAAGAGTGTACCTACTTTATTTAAAGGATAAAATAAGTAGGAAGTAGGGTAGCATCTTAACTGAAGTGTCAGTAGCACATACAAAAAGCCAGAAGTTCAGATCACAGCAGAAGTTATTCCTTCCTTCCCTAGCATGGTTAGAAATTCCCTTGTTATACAATTCTTTCTTCACTTATGTGTCTATTATAATGTGGATTCCTCCTTTCTTCGTGTTACGGTAAAAGTTTGTTTTCGCCTGCCTATTTATGTGTACAACCAAATACAGTATAGCAAGTACTGAACAACCTGAGGTTTAACATAACATTCTTCTTTTGTGAATTTCTCTACATGTTTGAGGGCCTAAGAGGAAAACAGTTTTAGGAATTAGTAGTGCATAGTTAAAAGTGCATAATAAATTGCTTTTATTGTTTGCACGTAAAACCATTGTGCATGGTGGCAGTTGCAATTTCTGTGAAAATGATGTAAGTCAAAATACAGATTTAAATCTTTTGTTCCGTACTTTATTGAGTTCTTATTTACATAAAAGGATTTTTATGGACTTAAGAGCAATATTACTAATAATTATACTACTACTGACTCAAACAGACCCTCCATAGTATCAGAACATAAAAAAGGATCCTCTCTTTGTGTGTTCTGAGCTGCTGTACAGCAGCAGTTATGTATATGCTGTGTTGGGTTTCTGTTTCAAAGAAGCTTAAAATACATTTCAGATGCTCAGTGTCCCACTAGCCCAGTTTAAATCTTTGGGAAAATGGAAAAGGGTCTTGGAATGTCCTGAAGGTGGAATAAAATTCCCCAGTGTCCAGGGGGAAAGTGCTGTACAGAAAGGGCCCTAGCAATTGTTCTATATGTGTAACTCTAGCTTACTCACTTGGCAATCTCCACAGCAGCAGAATTACATGAGGGATTAAGAGCAGCTATCTGCTTACTAAATCTTCTAGGAGCTCCATATGTCAAAAACAAAATCTTCCTTCCTGTGTCAACACAGGTTCAGAAATGCTGCTGTTCTCAGGAAAGTTTGCTTCTTTACAGATAAAGTACTGCATTTAACTAATTTAACTTTCTGGCTAAATAGTCATTGTACAGTAATGCATTTGTGACAAGGGAGTAAAGAGGAAATCAACACAGCTTCCGTAATTTTCTAACAAATCTAGATTAGCTGCTACTTCTCTTTCAACAGCAGTTGGGAGTTCAACCGTACTCTTACAAGCATTTGCCATATTAATAGTGCAGGCCTAAAGAGGTGAAAATACCTTACCATATTTTTCTCCCAATCATTTAATCTCACTGATGTAATGTATAAAGTGGTGAATTGAAGTCATTAGACCTGTGTCCTGTTCTCAACTAAAAATGAGATCTGATATCATGCTGCTGTCTGTCAATAGAAGGTGGCATATTACTCCATCACAGCCTCTTGCTGCCTTTTCTTTTATAAAAAGATAATGTTTGGATTCCAGCATGACATCAGTTCTCTTGTGACATCATGTGATGACAGACTTGCCCTTGCACTTGAATAAGAAAGCGTTTCTTGATGAGCAATTGCTGAACAAGAGAATTGCAAATTCATTTAACGGAATGCTCTTTGTTGTTTATGTGAGCAATTCTTGACTTCCCTTATTTGTTCTGAGTTACTAATGTTTTTAATTTTATTAGCACTGACGTCACTGGCTTAACTGTAAATGAATTGCAATAAACCCATCAAATAACTTTAATAGCTGGAGCTGCTCTTTGAAACAAGTATCTTTTCAGTATTCATACCATGCCTAGGACAGAAATCTATGACTGCAGTTAGTGTCACTGTTAGTGACAAGATCTAAATTTCTATATCCAGCAGATAGGATGTGTCATCCTTCCTTCTACTTACCCCTTGGTGTTGGATTTTGAACATTTACAAATACCATATGCTTACTTCCTGCAGGTTTGGTGTCTTGGCAATGAAAGTCGATACCATATAAACAAGACGGTAGATGGTTCTACCTTTTCTGTAGTCATCCCCTCCCTAGTTCCTGGTATTCGATACAGCGTGGAAGTGGCAGCAAGTACTGGGGCAGGACCTGGAGTGAAAAGCGATCCACAGTTTATCCAATTAGGTAAGCATGCTGGTAATCCTACCTGTTTGGTTTCAGTGATTTTTGTTTGTTTGCTTTTGTCTTTTATGGCACCAGAACTACTTCCAAGACAAGTGAAATAGATAGTGTTACTTGATCTTTGGAATAGCAGATTTCGACATTTCTGTTCTTAAACTTGCCATAGAACTGCATTCTAAAGATGGGATTATAACAACACAAGGCTTTTTTTTTTTGATCTCCCAATTCAGCAGTGCTGCTTTTTGGTTACTGATTTTTCAAAGTGAATTCTCACACACAGGACTAGTGTAATAAAACATGTAGGGGAGTATGAATTACTGAGTGTTGGCTCAGTTTACTTTAGGGATGTAATTTGTCTTGATTTGATTTCATCTTTATTTAGGAAAAAAAAGCATGCTAAAATTAGGCATAATAAATATCAACTATGAGTGAAAGTTAGTAAATAACCCGAGTACAGGAAAAAAAGGTAAACAAATGACTGACAGCAGACAGCAGTCTTGACCTCCTAACTTCATTTACACCAAACATCTCTCTGTCGTAAATGCAGATCAGAGGCATTGCTCTTGGGTGTGCTTGAGAGAAATGCATCTTTGCTGTTGGGTAGCTGGAGATTATTTAAGTAGATTTCGGTGTAACTACGTGTTGCCTTACCAGTATGCCTCTATCAAAGTGCCTTATCATTACAGTATATAATTGTGAAAGCAAACTCATCATGTTGCTTTGGACTTTGTCTGTCCATCTCTGTCTCATTAGTAGATCTTCCTTGTTATTTCACTTTTTCTATTTAAAAACCTATAATTACTGCATGTGAAAATAAGACTAAAAAATATATTCTCTGGAAAATTACATGTATGTTTCCTTGGCTATTAAAATGAAGATCATCTTCAACTTACCTTATACAGGCATATGATTCCTCATTACATTAATAGAGATTTTACAGCAAAATTGCATTTTGCTGTATATATTGCATGTATAAATATTCCATTTATACAGGCAAGACCCCATATTTTTTTGTTGGATTGTTCTTTCCTACAGCCAGATACCATTCACAGCTTCCTACAGCCAGCTTTCCAGTCATAGAATCGTAGAATAGTTAAGGTTGGAAATGACCTTAAGATCACGTAGTTCCAACCCTCCTACCATGGGCAGGGATGCCTCACAGTAGTCAAAGTCAAGGTTGTTGTATATGGCTTAGATTCTGAAAATTTGAAATTGATGAAGCTTATGAATGTAAAATAATGGGGAAACCTCGATACTCAAAGCCTAAGATTTCATAATCATTTTTTTCCTTTTTTCCCCTTTTCTCAAATGAAATGCTAAATGAAGGTGAACTTTGTAATGAAACTCAGTCACATTGGGGTTTTGATAAGTGGAAAAGAAACAAGAGCCTGTCAGGATAAGATTTTTTTACCTGCATTTTGCATTCCTGGCCTTAGCTGGCACTACATTAGAAAGCATGAAACAAACACACACCTCGAAGGGTGTTCAAGGAATCCATATATCACCTTGTCATTGGAGTTTGCTTTCATAGTTTGTACTGCTTGCTTCTAATTAGGTAGCATGGCCAAATCTACATATAATGCGGTAAAAATCCCATAATTTGGCTGTTACACGATAAAGACCTGGAGGCAGCAATCTTGTGGAGATCCATACCACTAGAAGCAGTACAAAGAAATGCCTAGACAGTGCTGCAGTACTTCTGGCAACTGCAGGAGGCTGCTGAAAATGAGTACTGAAATGTAAGGAGTTCCCTTTAGTAGCAGAGATCAACCTAAAACTGTCAAAGCAGAAGGGTGGCTGCAGTTTACCTAACTTTACCCCGTGTTACGCATTCGCCTATAGCCCCCCCAAGGAATCCTTCTTAGTTCTTAGATGTGCTCCCGGCACAGGGGTGGAGCAGACACTCAAGTGTTCTGGTAGCTCTTCTGAAGAAAGAAAATTAATCTGTTGATGTCATCAATTGGCACTTTTCACCAGCCATAAATTACATGGTTACAGAGAGGAGGAAGGGAGGCCAGGAAGGGGGAAGACAGAGGACGAAGGATGCTACTTTAAGAAAGTTTGAAAGAGTCCTAATTCCCTTTATCTGTGTTGTCTAGGAACTGTGTGTTTGGCACTGACAACTTCCAAGTTTCTGCATTTCTGCCACTGATCCCCAGCTATTCCTTCAGGAAATCTTTTTCCTGATGTTTAAAACAGTACAGGCCTTAACTTTATGAGGTTTGGGTTTGTTTTTTTTTTCTTAACTAATTAAAAATTCTATTTGTGCAAACAGGGTATACATTTTATGTAAGAACCTTTTGTTAAAATCAAACATCTGCCTCCTTTTAATGTGTTTTTCTTACAAAAATGTGGGACTAGGTTGTGACTGGCTCTGGAGCATCCAAAGAAGAAAGGTTTTTGCTCAGTGTACCCTGCTTTTGCAAAGCAACCTCATATTTGAGTCTGTGTGCTGTGGAGGGTGCTCCCAGGCTTGTGACTGTGAGAAGGGCCAGGGCAGAGTGTCAGCCAGGAAGGACAGGGAGGAGGAAGTTTCACATTCCAGAACAAGAGGGGAGGACAGGAGACATTGGATTCGCTGAGAGCTGAGGCATGCAATCGCAGTCCCATGCATCAGCTGAGCTGTGATAAATGACCTTGTGCACGCACCTCACTTAACCTGTTACAGAGACAGGTACAAATTGTAAGCTCAAAGCTCGCTCATTTTCTGTGTCTCAGCTGACACGAAGCAGCTCACTGAGTCGTGGTACCAAAGGCTTCCCGTGCCACCAGGGACAAGCTAATGATATATTTGCTTGTTATTCAGAAACCACCTGTGTTTAAAATCAGGAGTTCAACTGAAAAATCATGCATCTTGGAACAGTTGGGGCTTCTGAATCACAGAATCATAGAATGGGTTAGATTGGAAAGGACTTCAAGATCCGGTTCCACCACCGCCACCCCTCACCATGGGCAAGGACACCTCCCACTAGACCAGGTTATTCAAAGCCCCATGCAGCCTGGCCTTGAGCACTGCCAGGAGTGGAGTTTTTCCTCTTAGCTTTTGAATGACCTTTTGAAGCTTTCTGTGGAAGTCCAAGGACTGGAAAACTATTTGTTTTAAAGGCAAAGTTGATATTTTACAATAAGACAGACTGTAACAGCTTTAGTTTTAAGGAAAAAAAAAACATATTTCACGAGAGCTAGCCACAGCTCACTGTATTGTGTGCATATGATAGTGTGCTGTGGAAATTAAAATCATAGGATTTTCTTGTCATGAAATTTAACTTCAGGACATTGGTTACAAAAATGCTCCATACAAGAAGGTGAGAATTATCACAAATTATTACAACAAACTTATTTGGTGGTCTGAAGTCTGCCTTTTATACAATGATGGGATACTAACTAGGATAGTTTGGCAGTATTACCTGTGCTTGTTGGGAGATATGTATTGAAATTCGAACATTGCAATGTTTTGCTCAGGATGCCAGCTCAAAGAAGCCCCACAACTGCAGTTAGTGTTACTCTTAAACACATTATTCATAGGACTATATGGTGTGCAGTTATTTATTGAGAGAAGTCTGCATGTTTATTGTAAATGCTGGGTGTGTTATTCAACCACTGGATGTCTCAAGTGTACAAAACACAGGAAAGTTTCATTGAGTCTTTGTTATTCTAATTTCGTCTTTAGGAGCTGTGATTTGTGAACTAGCTAGTGTGCCGTCAGGGATATTACTCTGTCAGCCCTTCAAGTACTTCTAGTGTGATAGTTGGTATATATATATATATATATATATATATATATATAGGTTTATTGGTATTTTTGTCTTGTGACCTGCAAATAACGCAAAGAAAGCAATTTTATTTTCCCTTGCAGTAAACCCTAACAAACGAGTTCAGTGCTGTCTTGTCAAACTGCATGTTATAAGATTGAAGCACAAACCTGGTATTTTTCCAGTTTTGGAAATGTATATAACTTGAAAGGATACAAAACACCTTATTCCTAACCTGTGTTATCAGATAATTTTCATATTGCATCATGAACATGTATGTGAGAAAACACTCAGGACATCATGTTGCAGATTCCAGGTGTTTTGCAAGTTTTGAATTGCCAGAATTAGCAATGTCAACAGAACTTACATCTTCCTACTTTTTGTTTGTACACTTTATATGCTATATGAGATAGGTATTTGGAAAAGTACTACGCCGTAGTCTGTACATGTACAGGGCAAACCTAAGGTTGCTTGCACACCTGTGAACCTGAATTTGCTGTCTTTTTTTTTTATCATTGGCATTCCAATATTAATTGTGTATTAATCTTTTATTTAACATTTAACAACTTAAAATCTAGGGTTTACATAATTCTTATTTATATGAATATTTAACATTAGAGAATTAGAGGTCTCAGTTCTTCTCGATGTAAATTCTAATTAGTTTGCATTGCAGTTTGAAACTTGGAGCTTCAGGAGAGTCAAATCACATCATTTGTAAGCAATAGCCATAGCAACTTTATCTGTGATTAAAAAGAGGGCCTTCATCTTGGGGCAGAAGAAGGGATGACTCACTGTGATAATATGCTGGTTTCAGGGAGTTATGGGATCAGCCTGCTCCAACAACTCTGAGGCATTTTCAAGTACATTAAATGCTGTGGCTGATGCTCTGGCAGTAAGATGCACTTTGCCGTAGAATGTTTATGTTCACTTATTATTTTGGCATGTCTCCCCGAGGAGTGCAAGCAGGAACAGGAATGTTGATTATGAACCGTTTATATCACAGTCAAAGCTTCCAGAAGTTTCCTGGGATGAAGAAAAAGTACTTTTTTTAGTTCAAGAGCTTTTTTCCTGACTGTTCATTCAGGCTCTCACAGGAGTACTATGGAAGGAAAATATGCCCTTCTCAATGAAAGGCATCCAAGATAATGTTCCTGGAAATCCCCTTTGCTTTATATTTAGCTTACTTTCTTTTTCTTAATTACAAGAGGAGCAGGGTCAAATGTGGCTTCTTGAAAGCCCTTCCATCTTCTTTTCTATTATATTGTTTATATGACTGTACATGAACACGAATGTATACTGTTTATCATGTGTCCAAATATATACCAGCTAATTTAATGGAAAGGTTCTAACAGTCCACCCAAATACAATGTGCCAAAAGCCTAATGTTTTAAAAGCAGCTACATTATTATGCTGTTCTTATGCTTGCAATGGCTGGCAAAATAATACCAGAAGATTAATCTTAATTATTAAATTAATAATTAGAAGAATAAGTGGTCAAAGAGACTCTTCAGTATTTTGTAATCTTCAGACATTCATCGGCTGAGCAATGTATATATTGACTGTTTGTATATATAAAAGTACCGTCTTTCTGTATGGCTGAATTGTTGACATATTTAAAAAAGCATTCTTATCTGGCTTTTGAGTCTGTCATCATTCCCTCCCCCCCCAGTTTATTTTTTTAAATGCATATATTGAAAGAATTAAAGAAAAACCATTTATCAGTCTTCTAAATTTATTCAGGACCATAGGTTCTGCAAATATCTTTTGGTTTACTCTATTAAGATATACAAGGTAGTGTAGCTGTTCAAAAAATACAGAAATCTTTCATTTCAAAAAGTGACTGATGATGCAGGTTTTCATATCTTAATATGGCCTCAGCTGCAAAGAGACAAAAGATGAGAGTGACAGATTTAATTCATTGGTCACAGCATACTTTATACGTCTAAGCCCATCTATCCACTTGTGTGGAACTTCAGTTGGCTGTCTCCATAAAATGTGAAGCAACCCATCTTAACCTTGCACAAACAGGCGTGAAATCTATAAACCCAGCAGGCACAAAGGGTGTATTAGAAAAAAAGAATGAGTCTGTCTGGTGAACTTTCAGACAAGGCAGTGCACTTAGGATCATGGGAGATAAAGGGACCTGAAAAATGAAATACCATTTCCAATACAGTAGCAGTCAATGGTGCTGGTGATTCCTTGGCAAAATAGGTGTTTGAACTTGATGTTGCAAAACCTGAAATTTGGAATTCTTCACTGGAAGAAGCTGTTATTCGTTTAGTCATTTCCCATTCAGAAAGGTATCATTTTCCAGAGAAGGTTTGTTATTTGTATCATTTGTTTTGGTGCCATCTCTTGTTTGTACTGTGATTTCTTTTATTTCAGTTTTATTTTGGAATAATTCAAGACACGTCATCATAAAATAAATAAAAACCTATTCACTGTTTAGTTCACAGGGAAAAAGTACAATTTCTTAAGTAAATAGGTTTCCATTTCTTATTTAGTTTATATTAATAAAATTAAAACCAGCACCTTTCTGCTTAAAATACGAATCTCTCATTCCGAATCTGATCTCACCACCCATAGTAAAAAGCAGCTAACTGTTGGATTTACACCAGAGTAAAAATGGGTATTTCAAAGTTGTGGAATGTGTAAAACAATATCCACTCTGAGTAAAGGTTTCGAATTCTTGCCCTCACCCTGTGCAGTAATGAAATTTCCAGTAAGCGTGCACTGTAGTGGTGAAAAATCAGTAAGGCAGCATTTTGGCTATGAGTTGCTTCATTTCCGTTAGGAAGTGTTGGTCACTAACTGAGTATCATTACTGCTGCTCATAGAAGGGTCTTGCAAAAGTTGAGTGCGGAAAAAAAGAAGAGACTGATTCTTGCATGCGCTTTCTCTACCAAAAAAAGAAAAATATAAATAGTGTGCAGAAAAAATACATGGCCTTTGTTTTGATGTGGGATATGTAAGGAGAAGCTGGTTTTGAAAAGGTCTGCTTGTTCATCAGTAATGAGACTGCTTGACTATTTTAACCAATTCCTAACTCAATTTTCAGTTATCCTTCTTCAACCACATCAAGAGGCAGGATTGGTTAATTTGTACTTCTTTATGTCCTTTGAAGTACTTAGTCTTTTTTAACTGAGGTCAAAGTGAGAGACTGCAAAGAATGCATTAGACTGTAATACAAGATTTAAGTCATCTGTCAGGAACTGCTAAATTAGAATGTATCCCTCAGTCCAACCTCCTGTGAATGTACTCTGAATTTGTAATTCTTCTGTGATTTTCACTTGTGAGAGTGGATGTTTAGGTAGCTGTTTTCTACCCATTTGCAGAGCTCAAGGAACAGACTATGCATGTTTCGTATTTGAGCTTTCTTTTCCTTGCTGTGTTCTTTGCTGACTTTCAGAATAATTTTCTGAAGCTGCTGTTGCTTTGCTAAAATTAAAATGAAAAACAAAATAACAGCCCACAAGCCTGGCATTTTTTAAACCTAACTATTGTGTGTCTAGTGGCCTGATTTCAGCAGGGTTTGTAAGCGAACAAATGTCAGTAGTTGGAGTTACCTGTCTTGTATGGAAAACAAGCCATTTCTACCTAGACCTGCAAAAGGATTTTTGAAGAGCAGTCTTTAGGTTTTTACCCTGAAAAACTGGACTGTGATTATGTCAGTTCTCTTCATGCTCCCTTTGACAGTTGCTCATTCAAATTAATGGGCTATTTTGGGTGTCTTTTTTTCAGATTCTCATGGAAACCCCGTGTCTTCAGAAGATCAAGTGAGTTTAGCCCAGCAGATTTCCGATGTAGTAAAGCAGCCTGCCTTCATTGCTGGAATTGGTGCAGCCTGTTGGATTATCCTTATGGTCTTCAGCATCTGGTTATATCGCCACAGGAAGAAGCGGAATGGACTCACTAGTACTTACGCTGGTATTAGAAAAGGTGCCGTATTATATATTTCAGGCCACTGGCTGCTGAGTGTGTGTTTACTGGCTATTTTACTTTATCATCAGTTTCTTGTTCTTCTGAGACTCGACGCAGGAATTACCAAATCACTTCATTACTTTCAGGAAGTGTGGATCAGGAGCCAATGCAGAGAGCAGCAGTGTGTTAGAACCTGGCTTTAAAGCATTAACTTTTAGCAAAATGCTTAGACTAGCTGTTTTGCAAAGGTACTCCTACAAATGAGTAATGCAAACATGGGTTTAAATCTGGGAGCTTCCCATATGCCCTTGCTACCTGATACTCTACCATCTGTAAAGGTGGCAAATGGACAGTAGTTCATTGTCCTTCTTGTTCAGTCCTTTGCTTGCTGCTGAGAGCACTAACAGTGGTGTACATTACAGTAACGCTTTTGGTGTGTGTACTTGAATTTCCTTGTGTTCTGGGGGAATGTGGTGAGGTGGCTCTTAGTACTATCGACATCAGTCAATAGTACTTTCCAAGAGTCTTTCATAAATGCTATTTTGGGACCCTTCTGCTGGGAGTGGATTCTGGGGCTGTCACATCTTGCATCTGCATTCAGTTAGAATGGCAGCAGTGGGACTAACTTAAAGCACTCTTCGTTTTCATGTATATGGGATTGTCGGTGTGCAAGCAGTGCTTTACAGTATACTCTGTGACAGACAAAACTGGAATCTCTACCTGGAAGACCTTCTGGAGTAAAAGCTTGATTTTCCTGATTCAGTAATCTGTTAATTAAATCCCAAAGTTAAAGCTGAATTCAATAAGCTGCAGTTCATTTTGTCTCAAAGGAGTATCTCATAGGCACTCACAGAGTGAGAACTGTAAATTCTGGAATTAATCAGAAAATGGAGATCCTGCATTTGATGGAATTGAGGGAGAATGTTTGACATTTAGCAATCAAAAGATAGACCTAGGCTTAAAAGGTGCACATATCTTAATGTATGAAAGGTGTCATGAGATTATATTCTTCAGTCACTTCAAAAATGAATGTGTGATGGGCGGGATGGATATGCAAATATAACATAAATGTTTTTAAACATTAGCAGTGTATTGCTATGAAAATGAAGCAGCACTAAAAATAGCAAGTGAGGGAGTGGAAACATGGAAATAGTTCTGGACTGTTGCAAAGTGTAAGTGCCCTTTGTGCTATTAAAGTGTCCATGCTGACAGTAGACTTCAGGCACAGTGGTTGTAGCAAAGTCATAACCACAGAAATCAGGGATGAATTTCGCCTTTGGTTTTGTTCTTCTAGCATTTCTTAGATAGAAAAAAAACTGCTGCATTGGCCTGCGCTGTTTTGTTTTACTAATAGCATGCTGCCATACCGCCTTTCTACAATTCTATCAAACTAACATTGCTATGCTTTCAGCAGTACCTATGATTAAGCAAAAGGCATACAATTTGTCCTTAAAAAATGGTTACTTTCACGACATCAGCTATTGTTCAAAACAGCTGTGTTTTTCAGTATCTGTAAAAACATCTTCTGTGTCATTTGTTGGGGATTTTAATGAAAATACACAGAAAAGAAGGTCTGCATCTCCATTATCAAGTAGTCTTCAAGAATAAAATCAGTCTTTAGTGAAATATAAATTGCAAAGTACTTTGCCACTCTGCAGTGCATCGAGCCATCACTGCAAGCCCAAACTTTCTTCACTCTTGCATTTATTTCCTTATTTTTATATTTAGCTTCAGGCCTGACATCTGTTAAAATACTTCACTACTCCCACACATACAGACAGCACTCTTACACGCTCAGAAGAGTTTATTAATAGAAGCTCTGAGAATTTAGTTGTTCTACCGTACAGTAGCAATAAAGCTGTCTTTTAGTTGAACCTCTGTTCATCTGCTCCTGTGTTCCTTAAGAAAAGATACTAGGTTTAGTAGTTAGCTCACAAAAGAGTAATGAGACAGTAGTTTAAGATTATTTTTTTTCATGTCCTTGTGATTGCAAATTAATTTTGAGACACTTGATTCTCCTTTGAATAGCTCTGGTTTAAATGCACCTTCTATTTTAATGAAAGCTTGTTACTATGGTTCTTCATTTTCTAATGTAGCTAAATTAAACTTGACTGTGTGAAAGAGCCTAGCTCAAAGAAAACACAATGGAATTCCCAAGATAAAGAGCTGTGCTACAAATGAAGCCTGAAATGGGCAAATGCTCAGAGGTTTTTCTTTTTTTTGCTTAGTGTCATATCCCTGGAAATAAATTGGCTTACTAAAAGAGGAGGAAAAACTACAGCATATATCCTAAGTTAAACCACACTCTGGACTGCCCCCGAACATCAGAGTTGTAAAAATTAAATGAAGCAGTTATTCTCTTAGCCAGAACTGTTTCTGTTCCAGGCTTGCCAAGCAAATTCTGTCTCAAGGCTACTTCTAGTGAATATTTGATTGTTTCTCTTACATCTCGCTTGGATGTCATGAGATCGAAAAGGGCAATGTTAGCCTTTTTCTGCCCATCAGTGGTAGAAAAACTATACTGTCTCGTCAACAGGAGGGGGGGCATGTGCTAATAAGGAAGAGCAAATGCTGGTGCTCTGTATTTGGATTAGAGACCCTATTGATCCAAAGAGGATTTATAGTAGCCGTGAGAGTGAAGATTGTCAAGCAATGTCATTGTTACACTGTTAACCTCTCCCTCTTAAAGCTGAGGGTTGAAAGGTAGAAAGGTGTTACATGTAGGGAGATCTTTTACCTTTTTTTTTTTTCTGATTATTTAAGAAAGAGAAAAACTGTTTAGCAGTCTCGTCTATGAAAACAAAAATTAATTGCTGCAAGTAGATTTTAGTGCCTTCATTACAATGAGAGTTGGTGCCATTCTTGATTCAGAGACAGTAAAACAGCAGTTCTCTTTGTTCCTTTATATGATTATTATTTCCTTACTGAATACTTAAGTGTGCCTATTAGTTCAGTGTAATGAGCATTTGCTTAGTGAACTGCAGATAAGATTCAATAGGACCTTGATAAGGCTTTGTTAAGGAATTTGTCATTCTGCATTCTAAAATGATTAACAGTGTGGGGCTCTTGTTTGTGCTAGGATTTTCTGAACAGCTTATAATACCAAACTGAGGGGAATTTGAAAGGCTAAACCACATTCTAGTCCCCTCAAGAATACTGTAGAATATCAAGCTTATTTTTTATATTCAGAATAATACCTGCAAAAACAGGCTTCTTTTTGAATTGCAAATTTCATTTTATTTCTGTACCAATGTCACTGAACTACTGGGTTAGTTATATACATTTGTTTTATGTTCGGCTGTCTGCTAGATTTATACTAATGTGGTATGTTTCCCTTTCTCTCTTCAGCTTAATAACCAGTTTGTATTTTGTTTTGATTTTTCAGTCCCGTCTTTTACCTTCACACCAACAGGTATATATTTGCACTTTTCCCCCCTTCTTTGTTCCTTTAGCATGTGTTTGTGGTACTGTTTTCTTTTTCTGACATAACCAGCCCAGCTGTTCTGAACGGTTTTTAAACAGTTTCATTAATGACAGGTATCATTATTTTGTTCTCTGAGTAGTGTATATTTTCTTTGTAGCTGACATGTGTGTGTACCATTTTGTAGCATACCATTTAATGCAAGCATGCCATTTCGTAGCATGATCCCATCAGTTTGCACAACCTGGGCTCTCTTCTTGCGTATTACAATGGAGTACTGTGGCCTTCTGCATCTACTGCTGCAAAAGGTGCTTCCGATGGAGGAAGAGTGACTTTCCAGAGCCCAGATGCTGACTTGAAAGGAATTCAGTGGGATTATAGTTGGGGAAACATTTACTTTCTTTCCTCTGAATCTGCATCAATCCAGAGCCCTAGGAGTGTCCTGCTTTGGAAGATACAGAAAATCAGACTGTTATAGCAGTTAGATTTCTTTGCTTGCTACATCAAACTGTATTTGTGCTATAAAAATATAAAATAATCATCCTGTTCTACATAAAAGGGGTCGTTTAATTTTCAGGGTGGGTCTATAATAATTTTCTGTTTCTGTTTGGAAATATACAAAATATAACCTGAGCCACATCCCGCCAAAATGTGGGAGAGCCTTTCTGTTCTCTAGAGCTGACCTGCAGTCAGTCCCAAGGTCTAGCACCTGAGTGTTTTTTCCTCTACAGTAGATAAAATTCAACACGTTCAGTACCCACTAGTGTACTGCATTACTTTTAGCTACAGCCTGAGTGGACAGACAGGTTGCTTTTTCCTCCTTTGTTCTAAATCCCTTATTTTCACAAGAGTTCTGTGAGACTTGGTGGCATATCCAGGCAGGGTAAAACCTGCCTACCCCCTCCTCTGCACACTCAAAATCAGGAGTGCACTGACCTGGCCTCTATGGAGCAGAATTACATCCTTCCAAGTTGGACCACAGGTGAACCAATCTCATGTCTGCCTGCATTCATCCACACAGACCTAACAGTAATGGGTTAGATTCTTATCCATGCACTTTTTATCCCATTGAATAGTATCTTGTTTCAAAAGTCATCCTGTTACATTTGGTGGACTTGCTTACTGTTTGGCATGAGTCAGAGGGGCCCTTAGTGTTTGTGAAGTCCTTTGAGATCCACGATGGAGACTAATTCAAATTATTATGCTGTCACTTCAGTTGGCTTAACAGAGGGCTTCTATTGCAGTCACAATAGTAGCATACTATGGAAATTCTGCAGAGGTTGGTAGGTTAGCTGACCTATATTTTCTCAGATGGATTCTTAGCATTAAAAGAAAACATCAGGGTTCCTTAAGATATAGCAGAGCTGCAAAATAAATAACACTGAGATTTTCAAAGAAGAAATTAGAGGAAACACGAAGCATGTAAAACATGTAAAGCGGGGCAGGAAATCCTTTTTCAATCCAGGATCCCAGTCAGTAGTTCCATTGACTTTAAATGGAACCAGACCCTCTTCTTTAGCATTACCTATAGTAAAAGACTTACCTGTAGCAATGCATCCTACAGTTTAATCCTGTTATTGTAATCATTGCCAGCATTTATCTCTCTCTTGCAGACTCCCTGTTTGGAGTTCTTCTAAAGAGCAGAATTTGGCTGCTTTTTTTCAGCACATTCCTAGCTGCAAAATGTAGAATCCATCAGCATTTGCAGGGGAGGCAATCTCCTTAACTCTTTGCCAAACCCAGTGCAAACCTGCAGAATTTATGGCACTGTTTCTTGGGTGTTTCCATCCTAAAAACTAACTTTTCAACCGTGATGCTTCCTGTGAAGGATATGCAATCCATGCCAACAAATTAATGCATATGGACATCCACTTTGTTAATGTATAATACTTCTAAAATGATAGCAAAACTGTTCCTTCTAATTTAGGAAGTGCTCTTTATGCCAGACATATTTTGCCAGGATTGTTCATTTAAATTTTGATATTAAAAAGCATAATTTCTAAATCCAATTGTAAAATGTTATAAAATGTAAAGCTTTTGTGGACTTATAGAGCACGTTTGTTCCATAAGCGTAATGAAGTAGCATTCAGAAAGAGTGTTTTCGCAGTACGTTCAGCTGCAATGAGCCATTGTTTCCATTGGAAGAAAGGCCTGTTATAGAACCATGATACCTCTTCAATCTTACCAAAGTAATAAGGTAGAGCAAAACTTTAACATCTAGCCATTCATGAAACAAATATATGACCTAAATTCTTCCACAGAGTAACTCTACTGAAGTCAGCAGAGTTATGTTAAGGATAAGTTCAACATGATGTATGGCTTCCTGCTTTCTTTAAGTGATACGTGTGTGTGTGTTCGTGTTATTCAGAACACAACTGAAATGCATAACTTTGTTGAAACCAAGACTGGCAGTTATCAGGCAACACTAGTCCTATGTATAAACTCATATTTGAAGGAATAGCATGCAGAATGAGACTCAGAATTAATGTGGAAACAATGCACGTTTATTGTGTTACTTAAAATGAAACAAAGGCAAATTTAATACTCCTATTTAAGGAGTCTGGGCTTTTATGTAAGGAATCTACTTTTTTTAAATGATTTCCCTTTTTTTATCTTTAACTATTTCAGTAACGTATCAGAGAGGAGGAGAGGCCGTAAGCAGTGGAGGCAGGTAATTATGTGCTTTATTTTTAAAGCTATAAATCGTGTGCAACTAGAGGGTGTCAGGAGTGCTATTGTCCTTGTAAGTGATGGCAGAATAATCGCTTACAGAGATATGTTTTAATTTATTATATTAATTGATACGTTTTGGCCATATACTTTTCTGTTCAGAAGGAGGATATATGGTTTGAATTTTTGGGCAGATTTCTAAAGAATGAGTTCTAATACTTTCAGCTTTGTTAACCTGTAAAAACTGCATCTCAAAGAATGAGCAGCAGAGGGAGCACTTTAACTTCAAAATAAAGACCTGGTTTACCAGCTGATTAAGGGAATAAAAGTAATTAAGTCGTGGCATTTATGAGGATTAAGAAATATAGCTGCTTCCCAAACACTACAAAGAAAGAAAACGTTTATTGGAAAAAAATTGCTGAAGACATAAACGGCTTATAAGGTGACTTTTTAAGGAAAAGCCTTGCTGTCAATGCAAAACAGGCAAAGCATCACTCACAAGAGATAGGGCATGGAAGGAAACAGGTGGGTTTTTCATTAAAATCCCCCACTTTCAGAACCTAGCCCATTCCATATTGAGGATTTAACTAAAACACGTTTACTGGGTTGACATTATTACTCAATAAGAGTGGACAAAACAGTAATTCAGGTCTCCTGTGTAGAGGTGGAAATTTCTTCAGTTTTTAGCAAAAACACAGGTGAGAGCAGTGGCACTTTAGTGGCACACCTTTTGGGGTTTTTGCAGGTCACATTCAAACATGCCTTTTTATAAGCATCTCAGTTAAAGATTTGGCATAATACTGAGATAAACTCTAAAATCTCAGAGAGCAGCTGGGCCATAAGTTCTGTATCAGTATCTGTTTCACAAGTGGCATCTTGTGATTCCTAATGTGCAAGACTGTACAAAACTTCAGTAGTGGTAAAGATGAGGCATAAAATTAAATATTCCCAGTCTGTGCAGAGGCGAGGCTACTCTCCTGATGGTGCTGAACCCATCATGTTAAGAGCAATTGTAGATATCTCTGTCCAGAACTGCATGCTGCTCTGTTGTCATAGCCATAAAACCATGGAGGAAAACCTCTAGGACGGTTACCGTGCGATTTTTGAATAGACAAATCTCTAAATCACTGGGTTGCTGCCTTCACCCCAGGACAGAGAGAAAATAAGAGAGAACAGAGATGAACCCTCTCTTTCCCTGAGAAGGTTGTTCAAAAAGGTACGCAGTTAACATCCTTTGTGTTCTCTGTGTCGCTGTGCTTTCTCGCTCGTCCCATAGCACAAGCTAGACAAAGCGCACTCACACAGACTTAGAGAACAGAAGTGAACCCTGAGGTGTCTACATCGTACACAGTCAGTTTGACGCTGCTAGAGAATCATAGAATAGTTCGGGTTGGAAAGGACCTGGAGATCATCTAGTTCCAACCCCCTCCCATGGGCAGGGACACCTCACACTGAACCGTGTCACCCAAGGCTATGTCCAGCCTGGCTGTGAACACCGCCAGGGATGGAGCATTCACAAATTCCCTGGGCAACCCATTCCAGTGCCTCACCACCCTCACAGTAAAAAGCTTCCTCCTTATATGCAATCTAAATCTCTCCTGTTTAAGAAGCAGCATAATTTTTTTACTATCATAGTTTTAAGGATCAGGGCCACAATCTAGCAGTTTAATTTGATCAAGGTTTTAACATCCATGCATCTTCTGTCCATTTGCATATATAACGTTTACAGGATGCATGGTGTTGTACTATATGAAACATACTTCTGTAATGTAAAGAAAATAATGTTATTTTTACATATAAAACCTTCCTCTGATTTCCAAACCTGAAGTTTTTGCTTCCTTACATTGTATTTGCAATGTTTTGGAGAGGTTTAGCATTTTTGCCAAGTGCAGTTATGAGCATGTTAAAGCATTATTCAGAATGTCACAGTGACATATTTCAACATAATCCCCATTTCTGTGGCCGTCCCATTTCTAGACAAGATTTGAGCAATGGGTTTTGTGGTGGATTGACTCCAGCCAGCACCCACACAGCCACTTGCTCAGTCCACTCCTACCTCAGACCCTGTACAGTAATTCAAAGATTCAAGGAATTTGCTGCAAAGGTTAAAGATCTTTGGCAGTGGTGAACTCTACTCATTACTGGGCTATGGAGTTGTAATGGGAGCATCTCTTGCCTAAGTTTCACCTAAGTGGCTCCAGTTAGTAGAGTTTTTGTCTGCTGTATACCTCGTACCACATCTCTTACATGACAGCAGATATGAATATAAAACAAATTTTAGAAGCAAAAGACCTTTAACCCTCTATCCAAAAATCCAGTTCGGAGGTCTTGAAAGTACTGATACATTCTGGAAGGCTTTGTCTCCTCCAAATGCCTTGTGGTGTAGTTTCGTTGTGCGAACAGAGTGTTAAGGCAGAGAGTATTTCAAATCAGCTGGCCTGCTCACAGAACTACATAGCTGTGCATTTATTTCAGATTTACAAAAAATGCTTGTTTAATGTATGTATATTGGCTGGTTTGTTAGCCTGACAGTAGGTCAGGCCCCATCACCTCCTATGTTAAATTGTTAGATGATATATTCAGTAAAGAAATATATATACATATAGATCTTTTAAATATCACTCTAAGACTGTGACTTAAGCCTGTGGTGCTGACAGACTATATCCCCCACAACTAAATGCATGCAGTTTGTATTCTCAACTTTCAGTTTAAGAGGATTAGCATATTTTATTTTTGAAGAGCATCACATCTAATATTATGGAGACTAGTTACTGCACTATTTTGAATGTAAAGTTGCCTGTTAAATCCCGTGATGAAAGAGACAGTGTTCCTTTGATCCACTACAGTGGTACTATCTGATGATGAGGAGAACTTGGCTTCATAAATCAACAGGAATTTGGGAGTATTCATATCCAAACTCGGCTCTTATTTTCACATATCCATCTTGCTTCCATGTGTGATTTTTCTGTTGACTTGCCAATTTCCCCTTTTTTAGCTTCATTTCTTTAAGAAAAGGAGAAAGGGTAGAGAAATTAAAATACAACTTTCCCACAAAAAAAGCCCACAAAACAAAGGGACAGATAAATGTTGTACCCAATGCAATGCGTATGTGTAGTTCCACAAACTGAATTGATGCTGTCCTTGGCTGTTCAGTTTCCAACCAAGGAGCAAGTTATACAGGAGACCAGAGACCATTGAATAATTAAATAAATCTGTATTTTCTAATGCTCAAGCCTTTAAATATTTGATATTATTTTGTCATATCTAATCTTTTGAGAAGAATATAATTGCAATGTGGAAATGCTCTTGTTTAAGTTTTGAAATGACCAACCTTTGTTTTTAAAGGCCAGGACTCCTAAACATCAGTGAACCAGCCACTCAGCCATGGCTAGCAGATACTTGGCCTAACACAGGGAACAATCACAATGACTGCTCCATCAACTGCTGCACCTCTGGCAACGGAAACAGTGATAGCAACCTTACGACGTACAGTCGACCAGGTTAGATATGTTTCTACCTTGCTAAGGAATCCTCTTTACAGAGTACATCTAATACACGAGAGAGTGTACAGGTTTGTCTGGGGTTTTATTTCCAATGCATTTAGGCTTAATATAGATGCTCCTCTATGTTATGGTGATGCTTTTGGTCCCCTTTTTGATACCTTTTTTTGGTCCCCTCTGGATAGTTGTAGCAAGCTGTGGGCTGAAGATCCCCTGCAGAGTTCAATGTTACCAAATGTCACACTGAACTGATATGTTTCAGCATCTGAAAAAGAGCAGCTAAGGTAATGTTTAGGTTGTTCTGTACATCTATGTTGCTTGAATGGAGAAGGAGAAATGCCAAAAAGACACTAGTGAGATTTTCCTTCTGGTTTGGGTGTGATTGAAAGCATGAAAGTGAAACATTGCTCCAGTACTTGCAGTCAGTCTACTTCGGCACATTCAGTACTTCCCTTGGGGTGCCATTCTCTACAAAAATGAGTAGCTGGTTTTCTGTTTAGGGCGTGTGGATAAAAAAGTTCACACTCTAAAAGCAATTATGAAATGTTAGGTTTTGTGGTAGTTTCCCAGGAGCTTGGGCAGGAGTGCTCTTGAAGAAAACCTCATGAGTTCCATGGGAGCACAGCTGTAGATACGTATCTGGAAGTGCTAATTATTGCACATTTTCTTTTAAATGGATGTTAGGTTCTTTTAGTTTTAAACTGGTTTGCATTACTGGTGACGAATGAAAATGAGTCTTTTTCACTCCCAGCACCTAGTAGCATTTCCCAGTGTTTCAGAGAGGGAGTATGATTACTTATAGTGAAGTTGCACAAGGGCTAAACAGCATTACCTCCTGTAATGAATGTGAAGCCAGCCATAATGGTTGATAATTCATAGATGGTGATAATGGTAGTTCATCTGCAGTAATGCTCTCTGACAGTGACCAGTGCCAAGTGCCTCAGAGGAAGGTGAGAGATTTTAACATTAAAGACTTGTATCTTACTCTGCCTGAGGATATCATTTCCAGAAATACCTATGTAAAAAGATTCCTGATACAGAGATACTTTATTGTGGCAAGTACAGACATACCAAGTTCTAGTAACTGAAAGTTAACAATTTCAGAAAAGGAAGAGAATGCACATTTTTGAGGGTTGTAAACTATTATAACACTTTGTCATGAGGTGCTGTGGATCCTTTCTCAGTTTAGCTTTATGTTAGCTTGGATGTGTTGCAAAGTGATTCCTTCCTTTCAAGTAGAGCTGATGAGCTTGAGGGTTAGACAAGATGCTCATAGTGCTCTCTTCTGTCCTGAAAAATCTGGCAAATATTAATTTTATCAGTTTGGGCTTGCCTTATGCTCTGAAGCAGCAGTGTTGGATATATATGTATCTCTATATCTATATACATGTATATAGATATAGAGAGCTGCAAATGTGCTAAATAACTGTTCCTTTTAGTATTGTCTTCCAAGTCTACAGATTAGGAATGCCTTGTTCTAAAAATAGATGTTATTAAAAAAATTAAACAGAATGAATCTACTGTTAGGTAAACCAGTTTCGCTTAAGTACTTTGAGGAATTCTAATGCATCTTTGTAAGAAAATGTGCCTATTGCATATATTGTGTCGATTATATTGTGCTACACACAAATCGTATGTAGCTGAAAATGGAAGAAGGTAAAGATTCATTTCATAACTGACTCTGCAAGGATATTATGACAAAGTATGAGGTATTAGGAAGGAAGAATATGCTGGATGCAAAATCACCCAATATAAAACAATAAACTTGGAAAAGAGGAAAGACTAGCGTGGTTTTAGTAAGCAAAAGAAAAAGCAGAAATGAAAAAATATATAAAAAGTAGAAATCAAGAAGTTGAAGACTGTGAAGCAATAAATAACAGAAGCAATAAATAGCAGCTCACATAAGAAAGAAAAATATATCAAACAGTAAAACCTTCAAAAAACACAAGCTGGGGGGCAATGATAAGCTGTATGTGACATGTTCTGATACTGTTCCTTAATCATTGAAAATGTGGATCAGTGATTTTCTTCCTCAAGTAGTATTTTATTTCTCTTTTTCAGGAAATATTTCTCAAAAAAGGTGCATGTATTAGGGAATTTTTATGAAATTTGTCATCCTCTATATATTTAGTAGTTACTTCATTTAGTATGATGGTCAAATCCTGAATTTTGTACTTAGCTTTACTTGGCATCCTCTCTAGTAAATTAACTGTGGCCACAGGTAATGGACTTCAGGTTTTGAATCAAGCTCATTAGCATAAGTACCACATCTTTTAAAAGAGGAAAACTGCATTCCTGGTAATTGTTGTGTAATTGTTGATGCGTTAATCAGTTAGCAAACGAGAATTTTTGGTCAGCTATCATTGAATGCTAGTTTCGCCAAGTCTTCTAACTGCCGACCTGCAGACTGTGTTACTCCATTCAGTATTCTTCAAGTGGACTGCATACAGAGAGGAAAGTGTGTGGAGCTGCTGTCATGCAAAGGCAAAAGAACATAGAAGGCAGGCACACTGGTTCACACAATAATGACCAGAGCATCAGTACATGTCTAATTTACTTTGTGGAATAAGTAGTGATCTCATGATGGAGTAACTGTTAGAAGAAAGAACTCACACTGTCTATGTGTTATATAACATACAGGACAATTATATTACTATGGTATTACTTATTTTGCAATATCCAAAGGAACTGAAAACTAGCAAAATTACCAGGTTTCTTTCCTGTCTTTCTGTTTCAAACCAAAATATATGATTGTACAAGGAAACGATGATCAAATAAAGACTTGCTACTGGGTACTGAGATACCTTTTACATTGTACTGTTTCTCTTTAATTCTCTCTTGTGTGATCATTTTTCAGTCTGTTTTATAACAATGGTTTTATAAAAAATATAGTAAATATTGTTGTATCTCTGTTTCTTATCATGAGTACGAGAAAGTCTAAATGCTGTTGAGATGACATGACATGACGTTTTCAGTTATTCCCACTATTAAGTTTTGTTTGATTTTTCTTTTCAATGCAAATTGTTTTAATCAGTTTTTGGTGGGATACCTTATACTGCTTTGAGAATAATGTCTAAAAATGTGAATGTTACGTAGCCACTGTAGAAAAAGCCTAGCAAGGTAAGTCATTGTAGATACAATTCAGAAGGTCTGAGTTTACAGTGAATCAAAACAGTGAACACCACTTTTGCAGCAGTAGTTTGTAAGGTAAATAATAGTCTGTAAAATACTCAATTAATTATAGTATCTCTGCTTCGTGGATGCAAGCCATATAGTTGCACACTAAAAGATTTGCCATATAGTTGCACACTAAGAGCTTTTTAAAGGGAATTTCATTGAAAGTATAGTGTAAGCGAACAGAATGACCTTTTCTTTTTTCTTTCCTCTGTGGTTAGCCGATTGTATAGCAAATTACAACAATCAGCTGGACAACAAGCAAACAAACCTGATGTTGCCTGAGTCAACTGTTTATGGTGATGTGGACCTCAGCAACAAAATCAATGAGATGAAAACCTTCAATAGTCCAAATCTAAAGGACGGAAGATTTGTCAGCCAGCCTGGGCAGCCCACTCCTTATGCCACCACTCAACTCATCCAGTCAAATATCAGCAATAATGTTAACAATGGCAGCGGGGATACGAATGAGAAACACTGGAAACCCTCTGTTCAGCAAAAGCAAGAGGTTGCACCCATACAGTACAACATTATGGAGCAAAACAAATTAAACAAAGGTGAAGAGCTTTTAGCTTGTTTCTCCTCTTTAGGTATCAGAGGAGTTTTGACCTTCTGGTGCTGGGACCTAAAGCTTTCAAGTTCAGCAATTACAGACTTCAGTGGTGCTTTTAGACTACTCCCTCTTTGGATTAAGAAATACACAGTTAGCACTGTCACAGAGTTAATTAGCACCACAGTAACCTTCAGATACTGAATTTATTATAAAAAATAAAAAGCTGCATCTTTGGAAATTAGTTATATAAAATACATTTCCAGTGGATTTGAGATTAATTTAAATTTAATAGGATTTAAGGGATTGGTTAGGACAGAGGCCAGATATTTTATTCATAAGCCAGATGCATGGTCGTCACGTTATACTCTACCTTAAATTTTAAATAGGTCAACCCATTCTTCCCAGTCGTGGATGGAGACTAATTAAATCTACACGTTCATGTAAACGAATGAAATTTTGCATATCAAACGCTGTAAAATTGTATTGTGTTGTACACTGGGGACACAGATGGAATGATCCAATTCATTTTATACTTGTTCCTAGCAAGCCTTCGATTCACATATTGAGAGGCAATGCTTCCGCACACAGTTTTGGAAACTAAATTCCTTTGTTACCCTGTCTGAAGTCTGTGAATCCAGAAGCTAAAAATAAATTGATTTCAGTGTTAACGGGAAACATCAGAATGTACTTCTGTGGCCTTGAGGGCATGTTTCTTTAATATAATGTGTGGGAGTTGGAAGAAATAGGTATGTGATTTCTTGCTAGTCCTCCAGGCTACCATGCAACCTCTTTTAATAACCTGATTTGCAAAACAGTATCCCTAGGAACTGGACCCATTCTAACTTGGAACATTTTGCATGGATTGTTGTAACTCAGGTGATGGCATAGTGATAAGTTATCCAGCAAAAAGATACATTTCATTACAGGAATGTTGATTTCTGTACCGGACCCATCTACTCACAGAGGAGTTCAAAGGGCAATATAAAATGTGACACCTTCCCTTGACATAAACATGTCAAAAGAAAATTCAGTTTTTGTGGCTCCTTACTGGAGGGTGAAAGCTGTATTTTTTTTGTAATTATGTTTTCTTTCATGAACTGTGTATTACATATCGGGTTTGGAATTAAAATTTGTTCGGTTTTTATGCCCTGGAAGATCCTGCATCTTTCAAACTGTGTATATTACAGCTGCATATTCTCTAGCATATTGTAGTGTGGAAAGGCCCCCTTAAAGCATTGTCTGCTGACAGTCATATATACATATTTCAGAGTGTTGATTTACTGTTTATCCTCTGTGTAAACATATGCGGTATGTAGGGCTTCAGCTTGGTCTCTGGAATGCAACTAGGCTGAGAAACTATTACAGAATACACTCTGGTGTGGAATCTATCATTTTGCTCTTTTTCCCATGCTTACATTATCACAAACATTTCTGCAGCAGATGGGGACCAGATTCTTAGTTTTGTTTATTTTTGTTTTGATTTGCTATTTTATGAGTCAATATTCTGATTTGGGTTTTCTCATTTCCTAAGTCAAAGCCGCCTTGCTGATGATTATACCTATAAGCTTTTGTGATGGAAAGTAACCATTTTGATGAGTTACATGCTGTGCTTCGTTGTCACTACTTTACGTCCAGTGGTTCTGTTTATGATGCAGTTTTATTTGCTGCATGAAGAGTAACTCGGCTCCTTTCTGTTCTCTGTAAATCACAGTTCCTTTTTACATGAGTACTGTTTTGCCAGATGAGTATTTTTCTTCGGATAAAGTTTTACAGATCCGGTTGCCAAATCTAGATTTAAAACTAACATATGTGTATCGAGTGCTTTGGAAATGGAGAAGGAAGTTATGGTAACAGCCATTAGCCAAAAAAAGAGCCCCTGCCTGTAGCTAGAACCTGCATAAGCCAATGTAAATAGAAATCTTCTTGAAGCCAGCAGGCGTTAAACAAAGACCTCTTCTGTTGTAAACCAAATTCTGTGGAGCTGCATTGTTGCTCCAACAGATCATTCAGCCCTTGTAATACAGGCCTGACTCCTGTGTGGGGCTGTCACCTTTGAAATACAAAAAGTAGCTACCACAGTCCATTGGCTGCCCTCTGTGCATAAATTAAACAGAGACCCTGGAAAATCAATCAAGATGACAGTCACACAGGTCATGTGTATGTCCAGACTTAATAGTTGCAGAAGCATTGTGCATAGGATTTAATTTTCCCTTATTTTTGCTGTGGAGCTGCTACATACCCATGATTTTCCTTAAAATTATCATTAGAGACAAGATAAAACATGATTATCAGATTATTTTATTTCAAAGAATTAATTTATTTCTTCCTCACTGTTTTCAGATCTTACTTTGTGTTACAGAGCAGGTGTCTAAAAGTAGATATGTCTCTGAAGGGTGGCATTAACTGTACCATTAAACTTGCAGATTACCGGGTAAATGACAACATTGCTCCAACTATTCCGTACAACCAGTCATACGACCAGAATACAGGTGGATCCTACAACAGCTCAGACAGAGGTAGTAGTACATCTGGTGAGTATCTACAGTGTTTTCCAAACCTGAAGGGTTTTTTGTGTGCTAGCTGTAGTTAGCAGTGCGGTGTGCGCAGTGCTAGCTGTGGTTAACACTGGTTACTGGGCTTACAGAAGGGATGATGGAGAGGAACCCACTGACAGTAATGCAGCAACAAGGTTGCTAAACAATGTAAAAACTGGCCCAATAGGTGCCTGTACTTCTGTTGCATCCTTGTGGCACTAAGCCATCCAATAGTCAGTTAAGTAAATGATTGTCCTAAATTGTGAAAGTCATGAAATCAAATCAAAGCTCGATTTCATAATGTTAATGCCCTACTGGTTAATAATATGGGCTCCAGATGGCCAAGTCATAGAAATTCTTTTTCAGCTGTCACTAAAAAGTCTTGGGGGAAAAAAAAAGGCTTTTTGTACTGAAGAATGCTGATCAGGGCACTGAAGTTGCACTCCGTGCATTGGAGCCACAGAGTATGGTTTCGTTCAGAAGTTATAGGTTCTCATTATGGTATAACCTGTTCACTTTCAGGTTTAATTTCTGGTAGAGGTGTGTGAAATGTTCGAGCTAAACTGTAAACAACGCATAGGCTTGGTTTAGAGCTTCACTATAAATCTGATACTTAGCCTGTGTTTATTTACATCTAGCCCATTACAGGGTGACTTACTGTTGTAATCACCAGTGCCCTGGACTTTACATATGCTAACCAATGTGAGGACTTTTGTTCTGCTGTTGTCTTTGATAGATCAGTTACCTTGATCCTAACCTGAACTCCATCTTGACTGATTGCAACTGAGGCACAATGGAGGCATAAACATGATGAGCCTGCTGTGCCTTTGGGTGACCTTAAGTGTCAGTGGCTGGGCTGAGACACGCACAGTTCCCGATTATCCAAGATGCTCAGGGGTGTTCTTCTGGGAGCCAACCTTTTGCCCATTCCCAGGTTTACAACATCAGGATGTGGTGCTGAGCTTGTGCTCCATGACGTAAAGACCTGAAATTCAGTGGGAAACATATCAGGGGTATGAACCCATGCAAATTAAAAATGAGAAGGTGGTATTCTTCACTCTGACATCTATTACGGTTATTCATAACAGTAACAATTTATAGTCATATACCAAGGACTCCAGCAGGAATGAAGCAAGGTGACCAGAGTAATAAATTAATTGTGCTGAATCTAGTATATATCATGGTGCTTAGGGTAAAGAATGCAGATGATTGTTGCCTTGGGATAGTTTGCGTCTTGCTTGACATACTGAGATACCAGGAAAAATAATAGTACATCGCTAAAATATGTTTGTATCTGGCAGCTAAAGTGGGACAGTAATAAGCAGAGCTACCCTCTGTAAGAATGGAAAATCTGACACAGCAGAAGTGAGAAAAACAAGCTTCCTAAGTCTCACTACAACACATTTAATCATGTGTATAAGGCTTAACTAAAGTAATATAAGACTATGCCTCATTTGAAGAGAGAAATGTGAAGGACTCTAAAACATACTCAAAAAAGCAGTGACTTTATTTACAATGAAAGCAGTAACAAGAACGAAGATGGATAAAAATGTATACCAAGGAAGAGTGGTAGAGTAAGTTCTCATCATAGCTGTGTCCAAAGTTAAAATTCAAGACCACATGAATAATTAGTATTATTCAAAGTTACTGGAATTGTTGAAGCTGCATTGTTCTATTGTGAGCTACAATTTCCCAGTAATAGTAGTAAAAAACATTTGTGTTATACTTCATCAATCTTCTTTCTTCTTTTTTTGCTGTTATTTTAGTTCCTCCAGCAGTTATTTTCAACTGCACCTGCCATTTAGACTAAAACTAGTCATTTCATTGTGCCTAAAATGTTTCAGTGGACAAGTACAAATTACATATATTCAGCGACTTAATGCAACAGTGGAACTTTAATAGATCATATCTGTATCATATTGTATTTTAGGTTTGAGCAATTAAATAGTATAAAGGCACTTTAGAAAATATGTCTAGAGCTCATTTGTTTTAGATGATAATCTATAATGTAATTAATAGAAATAGGAAGCTCACTTTTAATGACATTGCGTGTAGAATTCATTTATGGTTTTATCACATCTTGACTATTTATTAACAATTCCATTTTTCTACCCTGTGTGCTTTTTTGTGTGCTGTGTAAAGTTTCTGGTTAAATTCAACTGCTTAAAATGTAGAGCAGTTCTACAAAGAAGCTGCAGTTGCAAATTGGTGTAAGAAATAGTAATTCCAGTTTATTCCAACTGAACACAACAATAAATTCCCAGAGCATTTGGGAGGGACCAGGGTTATTTTGCTTTTCAGAGCTAGCAGTGAGGAGATACTTAAAAGCATTAAAAATATGTCCTCCTGTTTATTCACAGGGAGTCAAGGGCACAAGAAGGGTGCTCGGACCCCAAAAGCTCCCAAGCAAGCTGGCATGAACTGGGCAGATCTTCTTCCACCCCCTCCAGCACATCCACCTCCCCATAGCAATAGTGAAGATTACAGTCTTTCAGTAGATGAAAGGTAAGAAAAATAAATACATCATCCATTCCTCAGTTTAATCATTACGTAATTGAACTGTAATTTGCCCTACAAGGTGGCAGTGTGACATTCCTTCAATACCATTCCGGTGCTGCTCATCTAGCTGTAGTGTGGCTATTTAGAGATCACTTACTGACAGTGGTGTATGGCCACTCAGTACATCCTGACTAAGCTGTTTCCAAAACACATATACAATGATTTTATATTTTTTTTCTGGCTATTTATACATGTATCCAATATGCTAATTACAGAGTAAAAATTTAAATACTTATTTTCTTAAAAAATCATTTTAGCTATGACCAAGAAATTCCATGTCCTGTCCCACCTGCAAGGATGTATCTGCAGCAGGATGAGCTAGAGGAAGAGGAAGAAGATGAGCGAGGTCCTACTCCACCAGTCAGAGGAGCAGCTTCCTCTCCAGCCGCTGTCTCCTATAGCCATCAGTCAACTGCCACTCTCACCCCCTCTCCCCAGGAAGAACTCCAGCCCATGTTACAGGACTGTCAGGAGGATCTGGGACACATACAACACCAACCTGACCGGAGGTGTGTCAATGCAGATGTAGTGAGAGAGATGTGACAAAAGTCATCCTAGCCCCACAGAAAATTCCTGTTGAATTTAGTGTGGCCAAGATTTTCCCATGATATTCATTCTGTTAATATTTAAGTTCTAACTTGGGATGCTAGAACTATTTGTAACCTAAGGAATGTGTAATTAAGTTACTTTATTATTATACCATGGAAAGAAATGCAGTATATTACTTTATGGTACATACAATGCTGACATAAGTTAAATTCACAGTCATCAGGATATTAAAGTGGTATCGTTAACACAGCTTACCATATAATTACAGTTCCATTGTTTCCAATAGATTTACTGCATTATTACCATAAAATAGCATGCATTATTTCACAGTAACTGTGCAATTAACTTGTCAGTGATATGTACGAATATATATAAATATATAATTTATATAACCTATAGATTTTCCTCCTCTCATAAATCCTAATACAGGAAATAATTGCTTGCAAAATTCTCTTAACATTTCCACCTACTCTTATTTAAAGGAATGACCAAAATGAATAGATATTTGTTATAGGGAGATTTTGTTCCTTCTCTGAGTTGATTTTAGTATAAACTGTTTCACAAATACACTCTCACAGCTTCTCTTCCATAAAACAGTGAATTCCAAATGAGTCTTTTTATGTGTGATGCTTACTTGTCTTGCTTTTAATGAAGAAGACGCAGCTTTTCCATCCAAAATGATAATTCTTGTATGATTTTTCTCTTCCTCCAGTGGTTTGCACATATTGTTACCACAAACATAAAAACTTACCTGCAATATTCTACTCACACTTTCTGTTTTTAGGGAAATGCAGACCTTTTATGATGAAATGAATTTGATCTTCCCAAGTAGAATGCAGAATTTTGGTTCCAGTAGTATAGCTTACTGGACATTTATGGATGTATTTTCCAGAATGGGTTTTAAGTTAATGTTTCCCATTTTTAAGTAAGCAGTAGTTATTAATCTGGGGTTTTTTAGGTTCTGTATCTGCTATTCCTTTTGTTTTCCACTTTTACTTGCTCTGCCTTGATTTGTTTTCTTCATTCTTTATGGAAACACTTCTTGTACTGGGTATCTTTTTATCTTCCTCTATCTTGCTCATAAATTCTTCTTTAAAATCACTTTTTTTATTAGTGGGTGGCTAATCATATTTTAGTGTCATTTCCATTGGCCCTGATATGTCGGGGCACAGAAATGTTCACTTTAATCACTTCAGTTTTCTGGGTTATTCAGAGGTTAAACTAGCTGGATACTAATGAAAAATGTTGTGAGTGACTTTCCAGAACTTCAGCTACCATATTCTGGAGAGTGGAAGATCCTTACTGACAGAGAACAGAGTAGGCAGTGGAGCAAGTGTATGCAAGTAAGCATAACCAGCCAGCAACTGCCTGGGAAGTAGAAGGTTTGCGCAACACGAAGGCTGATGGTTAATCACTGTTAATGTCATCAAAACTAGTGGCAGAAGTTATCTGGAAGGATGTTCCAATTAAAGCTTCTTAGGGCATACAGCTTACTCACTGAGTGGACTGAAAAAGAATATATGTACTTATTTTGTTCTTAATGCAATGATTAAGTCTAGCTTTGCTGAAAGTCAGGGAATTTCTAGTGACCAAATTTGTCTTTCTTATCTTACTTTTTCAGGCGTTCTTTCTTTTCTTTTTGCTACATCCAACTCATCAGTTAAAAAGATTCACATAATTCCATGTACTTGATTTGTAAGGCTTAGCTACCTTTTCCATGTAACGCCATTGATGTGACCCATGACATTGCTGCTTAGGTGTTGGATGTACTGTGCTGAACAGCACTGGAACATGTTGCCAAAGAAGTGGTAAATGCTCCATCCCTGGCAGTGTTCAAAGCCAGTTTGGACAGAGCCTTGGGTAACATGGTCTAGTGTGAGGTGTCCCTGCCCATGGCAGGGGAGTTGGAAATGAATGATCTTAAGGGGTGTTTCTGTTTGGAATATAATGTGACAATACTTGCCCATTAAGAATACATTCTGAGTGGTGCCTCTGTATTGTTTGGAGTGGGGTGGTGGAGGTAAATGGTGACTTTACAGTGAAAATAATGTCTAAAATACTGTTTGTCGTAGTTTTCATTAGCTTTACTTGTGGTTCGTCTGAATATTATCTCAACTTCTGGTCTGAACCAGGCATCTAGATTATGATTATGATGATGATGGTGTACTGTAATAGTCCTCTGTCCAGACGGCTTGCTACAAGCATAGCAAAATGAAATAGAACTCTGTGCTCTGGAAGAGTGGACAAGCAGAGAAAGAATCTAAAGATTTACTGAGATAGCAGATCATGTCAATGTTAAAGCGAGAGCTGAGGTGGGAGGCAGTATCACCGTTAAAGCAAGAACCAGTGCATCAGATGACGAGAACAAAGTGTTGTGAATTCTGTATGCCCATGAACCAGCTGCTCTCTATTAGCCTATCCTTAGAGGTTGGCAGGAAAGCTGTATTTTCAAGGACCCTTAGCATATTTTGTAACCAGTTGCCTGTCTTCTAATACCAAAAACTAGAGAATATCAAGACTGGCAAATATATCATAAGGACAGTTGTCACAAGAGCTTTAAATTAAGGCAGTAAAACTGTAGGGCAAGGTCTCTTTGTCAAAGGCAGGTAGAGATTTCTAGGCAGCAATGGCTTCTGGGATTATGGGGGTGAAGTGGTATTAAATGATTACTGGGTATATATCCCTAACTGACCTTTTCTTCATTCCATTCAATACATAATGCAGCAAATGGAAAGCAGTGGCTACATGATGTAGTCCAGGGAGGTTCTAGCTTGGTCTTGCCACAAAGTATTAGGTTTTTCCTTGCTAAATTTTCCTTTCAAAATTAGTAAGTGTTCCCATTCATTAAGATTTAAAAATTACATTCCACCCAGCCCCCCCCCACCCAGGAAATACTTAATTTATGAGAGTCACCATCTGTCAATGAGATAATAATAGGGAAAAATAGCAGAGGAAAATTACTTCAGATTTTTTTGCAAAGCAGTAGAAATTCGTGGTAAGCAAAGCTATCAGTACAGGCATTGCATCAGAAAGTACTTTTTCCTATTGGATGTTTGTAGTTAAAGAGCGTGCCTCTGGCCCTGTGAAGGAAAACTGTTGACAGCGTTTCTACCTGGGACCTCTGAGTGAAGCATAAACTAAACTGAACATTGATCTAATGATATCTAATGCTTTGCCTCTTTTAGCTGGTGACACCATTACTGATGGTTTAAGCTCAAAATAAACTAACCCATACGTCTATATGCATGTTGGTATCCTTCAGACCTAGAACTAACATTTCAGTGGAGAATTCTTTCTTTATATTAGCACCTAGGCCAATTTGAGAAATAATGAAATAACAGTATCTTCTCATCTCTTTCTGAATCACAGGGGTGGGTGGAGGGAAAATAATGTTTATGGAGCAATCTGTTTGGATAGAGGCATCTGTTGATGTTGATAGTCTCAAGCTTCTAGAACAATATACAGACACTACTCTCAAGGGTGCACAAATAATGTTTAAATAGTCACATGAACTGTAACCACCTCTTTGCCTAGCTGTACGTGTGCTACTTTAGGAAAAATGAACAGCTTTATGCAAAATAAGCCAGTTTTCATTAAAAGAACTGTATTGAAAGTCAGATTTCTCTGTGATAGATTCCAAACTAAGTCACTTCTGCTTAACAGAAAAAAATAAAAACTATAAAAAAAGCAACTAACCCTGGACCTTTCAGATATAAATACTGTTAATTTAAAAAGGCAAATCAAGCGTCTTGGGAAATAAAAGGAGTATTTTTATCAAGCTGCTATTTTCTCTGACTGCGTTATGTGACTTCAGTTCTTTTTACCTTTGTATTTTTATGCAGACGTCAGCCTGTGAGTCCTCCACCCCCTCCAAGGCCTATTTCCCCACCACATACCTATGGATATATCTCAGGGCCCTTGGTCTCTGATATGGATACTGATGCACCAGAAGAGGAAGAGGATGAGGCAGATATCGAGGTTGCCAAGATGCAGAGCAGAAGGCTCCTTTTGCGTGGCCTTGAGCAGACCCCTGCCTCCAGCGTTGGGGATTTGGAGAGCTCTGTAACAGGGTCCATGATCAATGGCTGGGGTTCAGCCTCTGAAGAAGACAACATCTCAAGCGGGCGGTCCAGCGTTAGCTCTTCCGATGGATCCTTTTTTACCGATGCAGATTTTGCACAGGCTGTTGCAGCAGCTGCGGAATACGCAGGCCTGAAAGTAGCCAGACGTCAAATGCAGGATGCAGCAGGAGGTGAGTTTGTCCTCTGTTTGATGAGAGAAGAGGAGGAAAGTGGCCACTGAGAAATGTTACTTATCCTCTACTGCTCCCTATTTTCCTGTTGCTCAGGTTAGGCATAAGGAAGGAGTTCTTTACTGTGAGGGTAGTGAGGCACTAGCACAGGTTGCACAGAGAAGTGGTAAATGCTCCATCCCTGGCAGTGTTTAAGGCCAGGCTGGACAGAGCCTTGGGTGACCTGGTCTATCTACTATGAGGTGTCGCTGCCCATGGCAGGGGGGTTGGAACTGGATGATCTTAAGGTCCTCTCCAGCCCAAACCATTCTATGATTATGTGTGTGTCAGTTCACACTAGTGGAAGAGTCAGAAAACGGATTTTGGTGAAAAAGTTCCAGTAAGTTGCTGCTCTACATCGGTTTTAGTGAGTAATTCCATAAGTAGTTTGGTCTCATTCATTATTGCCAGACCGTAACCCTCCTGGTGTATATGCACCCTGCACCCAGAACTGAATGAAGTGGGGAAAGAAAGGTATTAGAGAATTCTCTCCTTTTCCTAGTATAATGCTACCAGCATTTTTACTTATTCTTCCTAAGAGATTTAATCATTCTGTATTGAAATGCCCAAATAAATAGTAAACCTTGAGTCGTATTTCCCCTGGATTTGAAAAAAAAAAAAAACAACCAAAACCCAAAGCCTGTAATACAGTTGTTTTCCATTTTATCTTTCTGAGAATGCTGCTTAAGCTCTTACTGCTATATACTGAGATCAATTGGATTTGTGCTTGTTTTGTAATTTAAAAGCTGTTATTAGTTGCAGTTTAGTTTATAGATTATGCATATGCAACAAGGCCTTATGTGTATGGGTTTTTTTTTCCTCCTGAATCGCCACTGGAAATATGGTATTTGAAATATCTAATATTTTACAGCATACCAGTTACTAGTAACACTGGATTTATACAGGTAGTCAGTAACCTCACTAGGCCCAATCAATGTTGTTGCAGTTCAGCTAAGAAATAAGAATTCCACAGGGTGGGATGCAGGTTTCAAGTAGATCCATGAATGTTTTGTCAGTTGGTCCTATTAAACTGACAGACCTGGAGAAGAGGTACTCTCACAAGTGTGTCCACCCCAACTCCACAGATTTGCAACCTTCCTTCCATTTCTGATATCCTCACCCAGTTAACAGTCCTTTGTTTCATTTCCACACAGCTGTTCATCATGAAGAGTGAGAGGGGAGGTAATTTAGTACTTCTGGATGAAATCCTGGCCAACTGAACTAGGCAGCAAAACTCCCATTCATAGCCACAGGGCCAGGATTTTATCCATTTTATACATATAAGTAAATATAAATATGTGTGCCTATGTGTGTGTAAAATTGTAGATTTAGAAAATGTGTTTTTACTTCCCATTACTACTACAGCTAAATAATTTTACAACAGTCAAAGCTCATAATATGCAGTGATTTCTTCATTTTGTTACTACCCACACATGACTACACATCCTAAAAATGTGACATTTCTTATCTGCAAATAAGCTGTGATAAAAAGCCAGTCATATATCCCCAGCGCATTTCTGGTAGTTCACTCAAAGCAGCATAGGGGACATCTGTACCTGAGACCCTCAATTGACTTACTCTGCTTGTGGCATGGGCGACCTTGTGCTGCCCGACCCAGGGAAGATAAAACCATCTTGAAAGTGAAATATTTTCTTGCTGGGTGGCAAGCTTGCTTAAGCTTGTCTGCCAGTGGAGTTCATTGGAGCTCCTAGGGCAGGAGCTACCAGCTACTAAGCAGTTAGTTAATTTCTGTGCAACTAAGCCAGCCTGCCTACTGATAAGACAGCAATTGCTTTGATTTAATTATAGCTCACCTTAAAACTGATTTCAGGAAGGATGGGAGGTTATTGTTTTTCCAGCAGTGTATTTTCAGTTTGATATACCTAGGTCATTCCGATGTGAAAAGGGAAAGTATGAAACGTCTTATTTTAGATTAAAAAAAATAATAATAGCTATTGTTCTGTAACAATTTCCAGGCCGTAGACATTTTCATGCATCACACTGTCCTAGACCCACCAGCCCTGTATCTACCGACAGCAACATGAGTGCTGTTGTAATACAGAAGGTCCGACCTGCCAAAAAGCAAAAACACCAGCCAGGACATCTGCGCAGAGAAGTCTACACAGATGGTGAGTCCACTGAAATGGGTGAAAACACCAGGGAACCTTTCTAAATATGCATTCAGTGTGTGTGCATGAAATTTTTCCACAGTGATAACATTATGTTTCAGAATTCAGTGATTTGTGTTTCCTGTTGCTAAACACACTGAACAGATTAATCATTTTAAATGCCAGAGTTCCTTAATACTGTATATTCATGCTTCCACTCCAGAGCCTTGCACCTGTTTTCTATAGTGTCCTAATGGGCTAATTACTGTCATTATTTAAGAGCCCTGATAGCATAAATAGTACAATCATTGAGAATAATGTGTGGTTAGGATTAAAATCTTTGTTCACATGACTGACTGTTAAAAACTTCAGAATATATCTTTCCTGAAAAAAAAAACTAATTTACCATTCAAATGGTGGACAGCAGAAATCAATGAATTTTAATCCTGACCGCAGCATTGTTGCAAGCAGATACTTTGTGAGTAAAAGCAATATCTAATCATCTTCTTTCATGCCTTCACACACAATATCAACTCTTGCTGAAAAGGTAGTGCTCATATGCTCTTGGGAGTGTAGGAGGATAATGCAAACATTGTGATGTTGTCTAGAGAGAGCCTTTAATGAAAATGCCTCAGGTGGTGCAGCTTTTATTAAAGCACTACCTTCCAGTTTTATAAAACAACCCACAGGCTTTGTTGGAAATTCATGTAAGATAAATTCTCTAAGACTTAACCCATCTTGTCAAGTTTGCTGAATCGGCTAACAGGGGGAAGGGAAAGAAAGGCATCGTTCCCCACCTCCTGGCTCTTTGCAACAACAATCTGATCAGGACTTTCATTACCAGTCTGAAATGTTTCAAAGAGGGGCATCATTTGCCATTATCATATGAAAGCCTAATATTATAGATCCTTATCCAGGGTTACAAGAAGGGAGTTTTGAGCCACTTCTCCCTATGATTCCTGCCACTTGACAAAAAAATTTAATACAAAGCTCACAGCACGATGAGCAGAAGTAATTTAGCAATGAGTGGTTGTCCGTGCCATTATCTGTACTTTATTCTGAGTATTTTCTCTCACTAGCATCTATCTGATATTAGGCTGCATTAAATACTGGCATGACACAGTGCACCTGGGCCTCTTGGCTTATGCCCAGGCTCCTTCTGTCAGTGAAACTGAGCTCTTGGAATATTATCTGATTTCAAGAGGTTATTACAGTGGTTTTGTGCGTGTTTGCTTCTGTGAAAGGACAACACAAGGTGTAAATCCCCAAACTCTACCAGAAATGTTAACGTTTATGAGACACTTGTAATGGTGTTTTGCAAGATTTTATGGACATTTTATCAGCTTTTATTCTCTTGAAGAGAATGCTCTTAACTGAGTAATTGGCTGAGCATCAAACGTCGATACAAACACAGCAGCTAGGACATCAGAAATAAAATCCGGACAGGAGTTTTATGTGGCCATCTTCTTCTAACACAGGAAGAAATAAGAGGTGGGCCTGTATTTGATGACAAGTTTTTGTGAAAGTAGTTATACAAAGTTATACCATAAAGCATTGTGGTTAGATATTGCAATAGATTTGACAATCATGATCAATATTTGTTTTGTGCTATATAACACCTGCTTACTTCAGCATATTTTTTAATTCGGTAAGAATTTCCGCTAACCAATTTAGCATGCGATAAAGTGTGGTCATTCAGGGAACAGCAAATTATGGCTTTCATTTCTGCAGATCTAATAAAACCCAGTTCAAAGGTTGAAGGGCTTCTTTGACTTTTTTATTTATTTATTTTTCCTCTCAATCCATTTACATATTTGTAACCTCTCTGAACGTTCTAACCATTCATTTTAATAGCCACATCTAGTATATTGTCTCTTTAGAATTAGCTGGAAAATAACATCTACTATTTGTTCTCCTTAAGTGGAGAAAAGTGCTACAGAAACATGAATGAAACGCTTAAGCACTATTGGCGTTTCCGAGATATACTTAGGATTTTCTATTGGCTTGGTGTCACACTGTTACTTACCTTTTGTATAAAGGAGTGCCTGATACAAGGATGCTTCTTTTTTCCTCTTAGTGAGTGAACATAGAAGCGTTTGTAGTAGAGCAAAGCAGACAATCTAAATTTAAGTATTTATGTGTGGCTAGAAGTATTGAATAAATACTAAAGAGAGAAAAATACATTGCTTCATTACTTTCTTAGCCTTCAAATTGGAATTTACCTTCACATCTGTAGAATTTTCTGCTGTTCCAAGTTACCTGAAGTATTTGCTAGAAGTTTCATGAAATACTGGTGTCATGATGAATTTAAATGATTAGCTGGGAGAAAGGATATATGAATAATACAAATCTTTGCATGGCTGGTTAAAAATGCTAAGAGTATTATCAGCAGCAACATGTAAGTATTTTTGTGAAAGAGATTGGTATTTCTGACTCTATTTCTTACTAATGTAGCAGTAAAAAGTCTACTAGTACCCTTTTTTGAATAGAGTGCTCTTTTGTAGTTCAAGTAGCAACAGTTCTGTATTTTCTGCTAGCATTAGTTCAAATTAGTTTATACTTCATGTGGAAGAGGATTTCAGCTCATTTCTTTTGTTCCTTGACAGTCATCCAGGGAGTGAAATATTCTCCATATTTGTTGCTAAAAATCTTTGCTCAGTAGGTGGTAAGGATTAAAATGTATGAATTTTTAATTGCTGTTCATCTAACCTTTTAGAGAGTTAACTGAGAGTGTATTACAAGAACCAACTAACAGGTAACCTCCTTCTCAACCTTGCCTGACCTACTTACTTGCTGAATTTAGGAAACCAAATTTTAAAATTATATTTTCATCTTTTCAAAAATTATATAAATGGAAGTCTTCTCTGAACTCTCTTGAATGGATATGTTAGTAGTTACAAGCCCTCAGAATTGTAAGCATTTGGATTAAAAGGATAAAAGTATTTTGCCATTGCTTTGATTCAGTAGGTCTTTCAATGGAAATTACACCATCGACGGTTCACATGAGATTTTACATCCTAATTCTTTTTTATATCTGAGTGACAAAGGATAAAAATACTAGCATTTTCACAACTAACTGGCTGAGGCTGTAACCAAATTATTTAGCTGTGCTATAAATGACACAATGTTAGGGCATCCGAATTTCTCACAAAAGGCAATTGAATATCTGCCAAATGTTTCCTTGAATTTTCACACTGAAATGTTAAGCCATTGCGCATGCTGGCAGCGTATTTTTGTCTCCCTCTGCATGTGCAGTACGAAAAAGAGCTGCACAGCACATGTTTCAGCAGTGGAAAAGATCAGTAGGAATGTATTTCTTACCTGTGCTAAAAACCAGCTTGCTATTGAATGATAATAATTTTCAGATACCTGCCCTCTTTGCAGTCCTTACTTCCGATTCCATTGTGAGAATGTACATGTTGAGTTTGCTGCTGAGGGAGGTCTTGTGGAGTGAAAACTGTTTTGATAAAAGCATTATGTAAATGTAAATAAGGGCCAAAAAAACAACCTTGAACCCGACAACATCATATTGGGTTTTGCTGTATCTATTTATTCATCCAATATTCTGTACAGTTTGAGCTTCTTGAAAGATAAAGCATGAAAATAACTTCAGTACATGAATAATAGTAGCTGAGGTTATGTATCTATGAATCCTAAATGATCTTAAAGCTTTACTAAGTCAGACACAATCCTGAGTTTTGCATTCCTGCATAAATATGCAATAGAAAAACATGACTTTGTGTCTTCTCCAGTATTGCATCAAATCTGTAACTTTGCTGTTTTCATCAGGGTATGACTGTAGAAATCTACAGCCCGATAGAACTTAAAAGAGAAAGTTGCATACTAAGGCTTGCTTCCCTCATTTGTCTCTCCTCACAATTCACCTTTTTGTGCTTATCTGTGGTTTCTCCACTTCAGTGCCAAACTAACTTAGCAGATTATTTTTCCCCGTTGGTGGTTTGCTTATCCCATGATTCCTGTGTATGTTCTCATTTAGAAAATTATTGCTCTTCGCAAAGAACACGTATTCAAAGTTTCCCCTGTAGAGAGTGCTATGAAATGACATCCATTAATTGTTTGAGTTACATGGGAAGCGGTACAACAGTAATACAGAGACATGAATGAAACGTGAGCACAGCTGACCTTTAAGAAATACTTCTGAGTTCTTCATATTGGTTTGATGTTGATTTGTGATTTATTTTTTATTCCTTACAATGGAAGCTTCCATTTTGCTTTCAATAAGAAGTGTGCCAGTTTGTACTTGAGGAGGCAGATTGAATCTGGATTTTTCTCTGTGATCTGAGCTTTTAAAATAAATACCACAGGGTGTAATAGTGTTGACCTCTGGAAAGTATGGGGGTTTTTGGCCTCTGTGAAGGATTCTTCTCAGCGAGGTGTACCATGTTATAATGAAGATTTTTATAGTTTCCCTGCAGGTTGCAAAAATGTTCTCAAAAGAGAATATCACTTTTCTTTAGTTATTACTGTACCACAGAGCTACCGCTGTTTTATGAAAGTTTTCATATCAATGCATCTTTCCTTTCCATAGTGAAGATTTAACACCACTTTGTTCATTGTCCTGGGTAGCTGGGTAGGATTCTTGAATAAAATCATTTATTCCAAGTTGTATTTTAAAGGCCACAGGAAAGATGCTGTTCCTTGCCTTTGGTATTTACAGCCAGTGCGTTGCTGTGGCACAGCTGAGACTGGCTCCAAGGGTGACTGAAAAGGCTTGATGTTAAGTACCTACACTCCCTTTACATCAGCAGGCTCAACAGAAGGGCTATTCAGTGCTCTGATAATTTAATAGAGACAGAGAGTGAGGAATGTGAAACACAAGATACTGCATCAGCAGCTGTGGTTCCAGAAGCCTACACTTCTGAGTGCCTTCAACCACTTGTGATTCAGTATGTCCTTTTCTGAGAGAAGACATCTCGTGGGAAAGATGTTTTTCTCAGAAAGCAAGGTGTTTGAATCCCCACAGTCTAATGCAGAGTTTATCTTACTTTTAAAATCTTGACCAAGTTCTATAATTGCTGAAAGCATTCCGCAAAAGGTGGGAACCATCACCATCTCCATTGCCCACCCCGTAAATACATTTACATTTAGATTTAGCCATTTATTATAGCCAAGCTTCCAGCTAATTTACATTAGCGCCTTTTCAAGTTTTGGAAATAACAGTGCATTTTCTTAAAAGATAATCTGCGAATGGTAAGTGTTCAGTAGCTATTTAAAACTAAGTCTCAGTATTCAGTTGTTTAGCTACTCTTTAAAACTGATGTTCCCCAAACTCCCCAGAGTTTGAAAACATAAATAACCTACAGAAATTGCAGGGAATACAGGGCCACTTGTCCAACCTGCGCTTAGCTAAGAGGAACAGAAAGAAGGGAGTTTCTCTGTTCCTTGTAAAATAGATTTGATTCCTTATGCATGGCATACCATAGAACAAGAAGTTTTCTTGATTGCTTGATTGAGGTTTTTGTGTTTTGGTTTGGGGTTTTTTTCTCCTTTTTTTGTGTTTTTCACCAGGACAGTGGAGTTAATGCAGCAATAAGGATGCTACAGATCTCATTTACCTGAAGTATGTCCAACCTCAGGAAATGTACTTTAAAACAGTTTTCTTCCTCATTGTCCCAGTCCGTACAACTGATAAAATTTTCAGTCTAATTTAAAACAGGTCAATGGCAATTCCGAGTTATGTCAGCAGTTTAACATAGGGGATGGTGCCCAGTAAGAGTGCATCGATCACTGAATTCTGCATTGCTACACCTTCCCAAAGGCCTAGATCAAGTCACTTCTGGTCTGTGTCACTGGAAGACCTCTTGAAAACGTCTGGCGTCTGCCAAACTGAATTTTTAGTTAGATGCTATTTTTTTCTTATTCAAGAGTATTACCTTTATTCTTGGCCCAATTTAGCTAATTTTCAGTAGAAGTCTTCTCTTGAATAGACTGTGAATTAGCTGTATATGTAGTGATGCTGTTTGAAAAACACAGCTGTTCCAAGGTTTTTGTGGAAGTAGAAAGAATGAATACACACGATTAAAAAATGCTGAAGTTATGTTTTTTTTTATAGTGCTCTTTGGGGTTTTTTTAGCAAGCTCATTTGAGAATATTAACTTCAGAAGCATCTTTCACATCTTACTTTCTTTAACCTGTTGTTCTCTTATGTGCATGTGATTTCTTCCTGCATCTTTGTTATGAACCACTTTTGTATTGTTGCTTCCTTGTTTAACTTCTACTTTTTTCCCTGAACATTTATATTCCACAGAGCACTATTGTATGATGATGAACAGTTTACACATTCTAGTTTAAAGTCTATAATAGAGAAAAATACAATTAAATAAAGCAGATGCAGGCCTTATAAATACTATTAAAAATATACAGTATTTTAAAACCTCATAAGCTGTGCTAATTTAAGCAGACAAATTCAAAGTCTTGTCTGTTTTGTTGTTCTAGCGTGGACTTTCTTTTATCTCATACCCCGAGACACCAAGAGTATGTATGTCAGATTAACCTAGTATTTTGAAAGAAGAATGCAATAATTAATGTAGTTTATCCGTACCTATATCAGCAGTGTATCTGATACACATTGTTACACATGAGCCAACTTGCTTTAACGCTCAGTACAGTGAAGACCTTGAGCAAACACAGCACAAGCTGCTGTGATGTTGAATGGGTTTAGCAAAAATGACAAGTATCAGCAAAGATATGTTAATGTCTTTAACTCTGTGTTGATATTCATAACTGACATACTAATATCCAGGTTCCTAATGTATGATTTTTAAGAAAATATCGTGATTTGAAAAGGCAGTGAAAGGTGTTTATTTTGCATTTTTAAAGCTCAAGCCTTGGAAAAAATACCCCTCAGATGTTGTAACAGCAACATAATACTTTTAGGGGTGGAGAGAGAAGGGCAAAGGGAGGGTTGAAAGTAAATAAGGCATCAGTTTCTTCAGTTCAAGTCAATATTATTTCTTCATTTCAGCAGTGCATAATGTCATCATAACTGTTTTTCTTTCTCAACTTTGTAGATTTGCCACCCCCTCCTGTGCCACCTCCAGCTATAAAGTCACCAACTGCCCAGTCCAAATCACAGCTGGAGGTGCGGCCGGTCATGCTGCCAAAACTTGCTTCTGTAGAAGCGAGGACAGACAGATCCGCGGAAAGGAAAGGAGCGAGCTACAAGGGGAGGGACGGGGTGGATGGGAGACAGCATTCGGATGTGCGAACAAATTCGGGAGAGCGGAGAGAATCGCAGGAACAGCAGAATGATGGGAAACTGCGAGGAAATAAAGCACCAAAACGAGAAGGCACACCAGCAAAAACTCATATTCTTCAAGGTTATTTTGCATGCTCTGGGTTTAGTGAAGTATTGGGTGTTGATCACAGGGAACAAGCCAGCTCTTCTTAGGTCTCTCACACCACTGGTTTGAGTGAATATAGGCCTGCTGAATTGTCACCATTTCTTGTAATTATACAGTGCTAGTATGGATCACAATGCACATTCTCATTAGGGTAAAATGGAAATAAAAGCCTACAAAAATCACAGATTCTCTCTTGCTTTCTGTATACTCATCGTGTATTAAAGTTAACACGGAGGAAGCCCAAACAGAAGTATTCCACAAGGGCTATAGGGATCAGTGTCCTTGTCCCTACCATGCATTTATACTCTAGTTATAATTAATCTAACTACTTATAATCTAATGTATAAGAGAACCAAGTGAAGTTCGAATAATAGATCTGTAAGTCAGATATTTAACATCTTCTATCAAAGAGTTGGCACTTGGCCCATTTCTGCCTATCTATAAAGGAGAAAAGGGCCAGAATGGTACCTAGTCCTGTTTAGAAATACAGAAAGCCATAGTAGTAATGCTAACTGACATGGCATTATATGAATCAGACCTAATCAGTGTAATCTCTTTTATATGGAAGTTGTTAAGATCGCTAATTAATGGAACAGGATTAGTGGAATTTGCCAAGTGTTAACTAAGACTTTCAACCCAGATTCATACAAATGCCTGGTCCTTTTTTCCTGCGGGTATCTGGGGTGACTGTCAGGGGTGATTGAGTAATAAGTTGGTTAAATGGGCACATTAGTAAGAGGTTGGTTACAGTGGATTTTTGTAAGAAGAGTTGTTAAAAGGTTAACTTAGAGAATGGTGCTGAAATTTTAAAACATGCCCACTAATTTTGTTTCAGACTCAGTCTGAGAAATGTATGGTCTGTTATTTAGATGGAATGAGCTCCTAGTGAGTATCATCCATGTATTGTCATTTCCTCCTACTCAGTCATAACAAAATATACTACAAGGGGTGGGTTTTTTCTTAATTTTCCTGTAGAACATAGAGAGGGGATCATAAATTGAAATGAAGTGGACAGTAATCATGAATTAGTTATTCTGTGGTGAATGTTTCCATGTGAATACTATAAATTTCCTCGAGAAAGCTTCTGTAATGCTGTTATGGAAACAGTGTATTTCATATTCCTGTCAGACATTGCTTTAAACCTACTGAGGATCATAAAAAGTAAAATAAATCAAGTGCATGACGAAATTTTAGGATCACAGTATCTCTGGGCTTGTAAACGTAACATTCATGTATTTCATTATACAGAGGACATCCTGCCATATTCTAGACCAACGTTTCCAACATCAAATAATCCTAGAGATCCCAGCTCCTCCAGCTCGATGTCATCAAGAGGATCAGGAAGCAGACAGAGGGCAGATCAAGCAAATGTAGCCCGAAGGAATGTTGCAGAAATGCAAGTACTGGGAGCATATGAACAAGGAGAAGAAGAAGAAGAAGAGATGGAGGTAAATGCAGTTGTACTACTGAAGATGACTAGAATAAGGCTGTTTTCTGCACTTAAATGCCAAGAAAAAACACTTGAACCAGCAATATTTCTTTTCAGAAAAATTAGTATATTTATCTATTAATGTTATGCCCAGTCCAAGAAAAGAAACTTTAAGTATATGTCAAAACCAGAAAGTGATATGTAGCAAAACCGGAAAGTAATATGTAGCACACTAAAACCTATGGAACAGAGCTTGCAGAAATGCAATGCTTAAATGAACACTTGACATTATCCAGATTCTCTCTAAAGTGAAAATAAAAAACTAGAGCACCTAACAGCACCTCAACCCTGCCTTTCACGTTTTTTGGCACTTAATCATGTTATTACATATTAAGGTATAAACTTTCTTCTTTTTTTCTGCCTAATGATACTCAATTTAAATCCTGATTACAGAAAGGGTGTCCAACATGCAGCCGTGTTGCTGGATGTAATTAAATGTAGTAATTATTACATAAAAGTAACAAAACTCTTAAGAATGATGTGAAACAAACTTTAAATAATAAAATCTAATCTATTTGTTTGTGTCCTTTTGTTTTTTAATACAGGAAACAGAAAGCTGAGGACAGCGACATGTACTGTTACCGGCTTTTAAAATCTAATCAGAAAAAAACAAATCACTTAAGATGCCTCAAGTCTGATGATGTTTGACGCCAGAAATAATGTTCAGTGCAATCAGAGTGTACAATTTTTCATCTTTCTTCATGCCATCAAAATACTAGTTTTTATTTTACTCTTTTTTGTAAACCCTCCTTATGAGGAGCGGCCCTTGCCTATTCCGTAACACTTAAGTGCATCACCTTCGCTGCCCGAGAAGGCAGGTAAGCTGCTCTTCGTGGTACTTGGGCCAGCTGCTGCTTCAGGATTAGAACAGAAGGGGATTCCAGACTCTGGGATCCCAAGGTTTCTCCCCAGCAAGGCAGTGCTTAGTACACTGCTGGTACACAAGTGAGCCAGTCAATAACATAGCAAGTAATACAGCATTGATTAAAAAGATCCCCAAAGTGAACATCATGCTGAACATTCTTTTATTCTAGGGGGTTTGATGTAGTCTGCTGTGAATGCAAATATCTTTCAATTCCAATAAAGACTGTGTGTCTTGTTCTCTGCCAGTCTCTTGCTAACCTTTTGCAGATGATACAGTTTTACAAATGCAAGTAAAATTAATTTGGGATGAGGTGGCTCTTAATGTAAATATGTACTCATTTTAAATCCCCTGTGGTACTTTGATTTGTCTTTCCATTTTCATCATTAAGTACATTCTTATTAAAAATGTCCTTTGGGATAGGCAGGAGGTAAACCAGTGTGATTGCTATTTGCCTAATCACACCATGAGCAAGTGTATCTGAAACTTTGTCTAACTTTCAGCTTCAACCATGCTTAGAACAGAAACAAGAAAATCAGCGGACATTTTTAATAATAATTGGGTAATATCATTAACTGTTACTGGCCCAAATCTCAGACCTCTACTTGTGTCAATTCACCTTAAAGAAGAAGTGCCACTTAAAGAAGTTTTCTTTGATTTTGGTGATTAATGGTTTTTTGTAATGCACTGCTTATCTTTTTTTTTTTTTTTTTTTTTGGTTTTAAAAGCACAATCACTAAACTTTGTTTGTAAAACCATTGTAACTATTAACCTTTTTTTTTGTCTTATTGAAAATGTTAAGCATTTGTTTGGGGTATTTTTCCTTTTTGTGTTAACGCTCTATGTTTGTATTTGGAATATTTGAATGATGACAGACGGTAAAGTAACAAAAGTAAATGTGGGCCATAATCAAAACACTTCTCACTTTTCCTGGACTTCCAGAAAATTACCAATTTTGCTGTGGCCTCTCTCAACATTGGGTTATCATTAAAGCTGAAATAGAGGCATTAGTTGCATTGAATTTGCCAAATGATGTCCTCTGTCTGTAGGTTTTCTGATCTTTTTTGTAACGATAAAATTTCTTTGTCATTGGTGCTAATGGGAAAATGTGTGTTTGTTATTGACAGCTATCAGGACTAGCCCCAATGGAAAAAAAAAAAAAAAAAAGGAAAAAAAAAAGTGTTTTGGTGTTTACCGAGGACTGAAATTTTTCATTTAGCTGATTTTTAAAGAAAGGTTCCATAGAAAGGGTGTGCAGTACTAAAGGAACAATCCATGTGATTAATGTTTTCATTATGTTCATGTAAGAACCTCATATTTTAGCCATAATTTTGCATACTGAGGATCCAATAATCAGAAAAGTAATTTTTGTCACATTATTTATTAAAAATGTTCTCAAATACATTATCTTTCTTGTGTAGTTTCTTGTTTTCCCTCAAACGTAATCTTACGGCAAACTCTGATCTCATTTCTATTGATAAGAGTTGGAATCTCTTCCCACTGAAATTGTGCAGTTGCAGTAGCCTGAGCGAAGTGGGAGAGCTGGATGCAGTCTGAAATTTTACATAATTACAATTGATTGCCTCAAAGATCTGATTTCTGGGCACTTGATGAACTGTGATAACGAAAATGTCTCTTAGCCTGCCAATTTCCAGAGAGAGCTGGTGAAGGAAATCTGTACCAACAAAAGCATTCACCTCAGGGGAGACATACATGTGTTACAAAGCAAATGAGATCCAAGTAAGTGAAGGGAATGAATGTTATGAGTGATATGGTTGTCGAGACCTGCACACAATGTAAGTTTTCTTACCTGCCTGTGGCCCTCCTGTGCTGTAGCCAAACAGAGTACTGCTTTGGATGATGATCAAGTAGGTGATGGTCCTTTTTCTGCTCTTGCATTTTCATAAGTCTGTACTGTTACTGATCGCCCCACTCTTGCCCTTCCTTACCCCTACCCCAGCGATTCCAGTTAAACCCAACAACAAAAGACCACATTCCATAAAAAATCACGGTATGTCTTTTATTCAACAAAACATCTTTGTTCATCTTTCTTACTGCCATACTACTTTCTCAAGGGCTTTAAACATTCCAGAGCTAGATCCTAAGTGCTGCAGCACCCACTGCCTTGCCACAGAAGGTTACTAGAGCCTTGACAACTTAATGGGATGTAAGCCTCAAGTATAATTCTTTTCATAATTGTAGCTGTAAAGCAGGTGTTATGATTAAGTAGAATAAGTTAAATGTGCAGCTGTAGTGTGTAGACCTCTATATATAACAGGTATGACAGATAAGTTATATCTGTCCAGAAACACTGGTGCTGCAAGCTTGAAATAACAGGTACTTGCTTCATTCTTGACTGACTCGGTAAGATACTGGAAGCCACGTGTCAGATCCCCAGCTGACATCCATGTCTGTCTGCATAGCTTCACTTGAAGTCAGTCTCCTGATGAAGTTCTGACCTCAAACATTGGTAAGAGGGAAATCTTGCCCAGTGAGGTCTTTCTGAAGAGTGATTGTGAATGTGTTTGATGGTTGATGGTGTTCCCTAAGTTATATGGAATTTTTTGTGATTGCATTCACTTGTGATCAGCAGTGTCTTGAGACAGTACATCGCAGAGTCATCATAGAGTTCTTGCACCCACATGGGTCTTTGGTGCATTGTGGTCTTACCAAAAACACTGTAATGAAGATAAAGTGTATAACAGCTTCTTCTCAGAATTATAACTCCTGTTAATCAGTATTGATACACACTTGATTTTGTCTTTGGCTTTCAGGTACAGTAAAACTAAGTCATTTACACATTGCTGCTCTACCCAAAGAACTGTTCAGTGATTGGAAAACCAACAAAACAGAAGAAAGTAACATTCAGAGGCTTTGATTATGTTGTATACCTGAAGAAAGCAAGTTTTGTACTAGAAAATGCACAGCATTTGTGTGCTGAATTAGTATAATGGATGTGGAAGTTTTTTTCTTGTAGTGTCTGAAATCCTGTATGAGTTACTGTTAAATCTGACTTTACTCAATTAAAATAGTATTTGTTAGGATACTGTGAAACAAGTATAAAAAGTCAAAATTGTGTAATTTTAGAAAATGCCTTACACATGTTGTAGCATTATGTATCAGGTTATTTTCCAATGAGTGCTTATTTTGAAGCATCAATGACAAAGTAGTTTTATTTTAAGGTAATGTGAATTACCTTTGGTCTGTATTTGCAAAACTTGTGTAGGAGTAGGTTATCTGTAACTGCTCATGAAACCTGAGCGTGTCATTTGCTTAAACTCCTGCAAATAGATTTAAAATGTATATAACCTTACTTCCTGTGTCCTAGAAGCAGCTCTTTGTTAAAACACCAGCCTGGTTAATTTATTGAATTGGTTGACCCTTAAATTTTACACAACATGTTGCTTTGAATACTTCCTACTTTAGTTTTCTGTAATCTATTCTCTTCCTTGAATAAACTTAAGGAAGAGAGAACTTCCGTGGGAAAAATGTAGGATCTGCCCAACATAACATCTGTTCTGCAGCATGCTTTTTCAAAAGCTAATCTCCAGCCTCTGTACAGCTCCTAAAAGGTTTTTTATTGTCAGCAACATCAGTTAAAATTAAAAGCACTATATGCTGTAAGTGAAGATTTCAAATTAATAAAGGTTCTACTTAAATATGGAGAAAATGATTCTATACATGGGTTTTGTTTATGTTACAAATGAAAATTCTTTTCAAAAGAAAGGCCTACTGCTTATGTATAAGAGAAGCATTATCCTGTTCAGTGTGTACACAGGAAGATACTCGTATCTGTAGAGCAGATGCAGAAAATCTGCAAATGCAGATTTCCATGTGTATACAGCTTTGTTTTTGCTGAGATTAAGGTTGGGAACTGAGTCTGTTCCAAATACTTGGCTAAAAGATGAACATGTTTATGGATGTTTGAGGTTTGCCCAAGCATAAGGAACTCCCGGTGTTGCTATGGACATTACCCTCACTGGACATGACCTTCAATATGGTTGCACTCAAATACTTGTGATCAGCAGCTCGCTCTCCAGGTGGAGACAGTGACGAGTGGTGTTTCTCAGGGGCTGGTACCGGGACTGGTGCTGTTTAACATCTTTGTCTGTGACATGGACAGTGGGACTGAGTACACCCTTGACAAGTTTGCAGATGACACCAAGCTGTGTTTTTTGGTTGATACGCTGGAGGGAAGGAATGCCATCCAGAGAGACCTTGACAGGCTCAAGAGGTAGGTCTGTATGATCCTCATGAAGTTCAGCAAGCCCAAGTGCAAAGTCCTGGCCCTGGGTCAGGGCAGTCCCAAGCACAGATACAGGCTGGGTGGAGACTCGATTGAGAGCAACCCTGAGGAGGACTTGGAGGTGTTGATTGATGAGAACCTCACCATGAGCCATCAGTGTGCACTTGCAGCCCAGAAAGCCAACCGTATGCTGGGCTGCATCAAAAGGAGTGTGACCAGCAGGTCGAGGGAGGTGATCCTGCCCTTTTACTCTATTCACATGAGACCCCACATGCAGTACTGTGTTCTGCAACACAACAGGGATGCGGACCGGCCTAAGTGAGTCCAGAAGAAGCCATGAAGATGGTCAGAGGACTGGAGCTGCCCAGAGAGCTGGGCTTGTTCAGCCTGGAGAAGGGGAGGCTCCAAGGAGACCTTAAAGCAGCTTCTAGTGCCTAAGGGGGCCACAAGAATTCTGGAAAGAGACTTTTACAAGGGCCTGTATAGATAGACAAGGGGGAATGTCTTTAAGGTAGATTTAAAGTAGACCTGAGAAAGAAATTCTTCACTATGACGGTGGTGAGGCACTGGAACAGGTTTCCCTGGAAGTGTTCAAGGCCAGGTCGGATGGGGCTTTGAGGGACCTGGTCTAGTGGAAGGTATCCTTGACCATCTCAGGGGATTGTAACTAGATGACCTTTAAGGTCCCCCCTCCAAACATTTCTCTGATTTTATCTTCATTTCATATTGAATTGACAGAAAATTTCAGACTTTAAATCACAAGATGAATGTTTAAAATTGACAGCTCTGGATCTCAGTGTGTACTGCTTACCTGTGTTTGGATTTCTTTTTCTTTTTTTTCATTGTATATGATGATTTTTCTGTTACCTATAAATATATTCTTCACAAAAGCCATTTCCCTATTGTGCTGTGATAGTGAAACATTTGAACATTAGGAACAATATATCTTTATTCCTTTCTATCTAGCCACTGAATTATGGATCACAAAAAGAGTCAGAGATTTGAGATGACACCATGGAAATGAGGTTCCCTTTATATTTTATGTCCATATTGAGGATGGAAAAAAAAATAAATCCATCCTATCCAGAAAGAGGGAAGGGAATTGGTGAAACTGGAATCCAGTCTCTGTGAAACCAATAAATCAGGAAAGCAGACTGGAGAAGACGAATCAAGGAATATAAAGAAAAAAGAAAAAGAAACAACTTGAGGAGCTGAGGAACCCAAGTCTTGTTGAAGCTAATGGAAAAATCCCTGTTGAATTGAGCTGTCCTGGAAGTGAATTACCTTCTTACGGACTGGGAGACAATAGCCATCACAGTCCAGTGAACACTCAAAGAAGAGTGAAATCCTTTCTGCATGCTTGTTTTGTTCGGTGTCCTTGCTAAATACAGACCAAATGGGCTAATTTTAAGCTACCAAAAGAGTGGGGGTTTTATTCACCATGGCTTTCAGCTTTCTTGAAACATAAGATGACGAGTACGGGACCTACTCAACTCTAGTCTCTGTATCTGGCATAAAGCCAGATGGTTTTCAGCTGTTTTTTCTGGAGCATGACAAAGCCATAATGATAAAAATTGTGTTTATTGAATTTTTGTCAGGCGTTAGATATTTTTAGCAATAGCAACATTAGAAGATGTAGAATAAAACTGCTTAGTATTGACTTTTATTCTGTGCCTTCACACCAGTCTTTAAAGCCCAGATGTGGATCAAAGTCAGCAGCAAGGGATAGCAGGAAAGGAGCCCTTATAGGGTTTGATGCATAGAAGGACAAAAGCAAAACAAAGAAAAGGGAAAAAAAAAGTTAACTGCAAAACCCTCCCCCGCTTTCAGCAAATGGTAACTCATAGGGTATTCCTAAAGCATTTGGATAGCATGAAAATAATGGCCAAGAATCATTATTTCTGCAATGTTAATTGTCACAGAATCAGACGTTTCATTATATTCGTAAACAAGATGTTTGCAAAAGAAATTGCATTCTACTGAGCCAAGCACAGAGCAGTTTCTCATACCTAGTAAAAAAACCCCAAAAAGCAGAGCTGAGAGCTAGGTCCTGCCAGAATCATCTCTGGCATGTCAAATCTGCACCCCACTGATCACTCACCTTATTAATAAAGATTAAAATGGAAACAAAATGTTAGTTTCCATAGTCATCATTAACAAA